AGTCCACTCCTCTACTCACCTCGGGCCTTCTGATCCTCTTCTCTTTTTTCATAGTACTAATCACCTTCTCAGAGCACAAGCAGCTCACTTACTGAAAAGGTTATGATTTCTTGCCCATGTCCCCCATGAGAATGTGAGATGTGTAAGGACAGAGGCGTTTGTTTTATTTTGGACACATCCCCAGTGCCTGGAAAAATGTCTGGTACACAGTAAGTACTAGGTAAGTGAATGAATTCAGGGCAGACAGCACATTCAGAGTTCGTGAGCATAGGTTCCTTCCTTTATGCAACATATTCTTCTATTTCTTGACTCTTGGTAGAAAGATAGATCCCGGGGGTGGGGAGTCGGGGAGGGAAATGAAAGGACCGAATTGCTTAAACCAGAACTTAAGGAATTGGCCTAACTTTGCTCTTAGAAATTGCTCCTTCAGCATTTCTGAATGTTCTTCCCTCAAGGGAACATCCTGTTACTGAATGTTCCTTAAAATATCTCTCAGACTTTGTGTCAGAGGCTTTCTTTCTTCAAAACCAGCAGAGAACCAAGAAGAGGGGCATGAGCCGTCTTGGTGTTGGGTGAGAGGGAATGGAGTCGGGGAGGGGCACAGGCAGAGGACTTGGCTCAGGGAGCCTGGGGCACTGCGCCCGGGGCGGGGGCAGTGGGTGGCAGGGCCGAGAATGAGGGCTGGATCATTTCTTTTTGGAAAGACACAGAGTTTGGGTGTAGAACTTGCAGGTCCATCCCAGTCTGGTGGTTCGTGCTCCTCCAAAGGGAAGGCAGGGCGGTGAGAGGGAGCTGTGTCTCCTGTGCACACCTGTTGCCGTGTCCAGCCCCCGCTAAGTGAGTCTCTCTCCCTGGGCCTCTTGTGCCAAAAAAGTGTAACTGATACAGTCAGCAAAGAAAACTGTATTTGGCCCCACATGCCCACCTAGTTTTGGAGAAAGTTCACTGGTTTGGACCAGCTTCCACTCTCTTTGCCAGAATCTGTGGGGCATCTGTTGAGAACTGCTGTCATCAGTGGTTGGCTCCTGGGTGGTTCCGAAAGGGGTTGGGGGCAGGGAGTTTGCTACAGATTGTTTTCCTGACTTTGTGTTCACTCTGACAAGAAACACAAAGAGGAAAACGGACTTCCCGTTTAACCTAAAGTCGTGTCCCATGATAAGCACTTTTACTTCCTGCATTGTACACCCTGTAGGCCTGAAGGATGGTGGGCAACCTCTCAGTGAAACCCACTCACCCTCCTGGTCTACGGAAGGGCCTGCTCTTCCCTCACGGCCAGAATGTGACTTATGCTTTGTTTTCAAGTATTTCCCAAGAGAACTTGGGGACTTGCAGCAGTCGTTGAACTCAAATGACTGGTTTTAGCCTGCAAATGCTCAAGTACCAAAAGAAAGTTTCTCCCTGGGTCTTCTGATGGAACCAAATCTGATTTTTCTAAATATGAGTCAAGTTTTGCAAGTTCATGGAGCCTTGTGATATGTGCACCTTGTTTGGGAGCTTACTGGCCCAGAAGGTGAAAAGTGATACGTAAGCATGAAAAGCAGTGTCCCAGGCTGGCTCTGAAGTAGGGATTGGCAGCGTGGGCCCCAGGCGGTGGCTTCGAGGAGTCAGTGTCTTCATCCTCTCCCAGGATGGCCTCTTTTCTAAAATCTAAGCCGCACGAAGTGCCCAAAGTCCAGATGCTGTGCCAGCTCTTCTGTTCTGTCTCCTCGATCTCCTGCTTCCCTGTCGTTGCTCCCTTACTTTACAAAAGAAAAAGACCCCTTCAGACTTATCTCAAGTCACTGTGGGGCCTCAGTTCTCAGATGCTTTGGTCTCAAGACCCATGTAAACTTCAAAGTCTTAAAAATTGAGAACCCAGGTTATGTGAGTTTTGGTTATGTGAATTCTGTCTTTTGATACGTACTGAATCAGAAATTAAAACTGAACACTTTTCTAACACAAGAATACACAGGCATCTCTTTCAATAGCTAGTAGACCTAATGGCATCACACAGCATACTGTCTCTGGAAAACTGCACACCTTCCTGTGCATGTTGCATGGGGCCTTTTAAAGGAGTTTTACTGGAGAACATCAGGATGTATTCAGGACACCTGAAGTTACATTCTTTGCCGCTGTTTAAGTTGGGAGCAGTTTAATGTGCAAACCTCAAAATGTGAGAGGCTTCACATATTTTTCAAAATTCTTTGGGAGGAAGTCAAGCAGAAGCTACAAAGACTCCAGAGGCAGTGGCTTATGAGTTTGAAATAAATACTTCTCTGCAATGTAGTAAAATATTTTCTAAATCACCGCACAAGCCATTAGCAGCTTCATCCCTGACTTGAGAGGAGTTGACCAACTGGGAAAAGAACCTGACTCCTACTTGGAACTGTAGCTTCTTGGCACCTGCAGTTGTCAGGAGAATCCAGCTCAGAAATCCATTTAGGATTTTCCTTCAGCCTGACGGGAATACTCATCTTAGAAGGTGAAAGTGCCCACCTGAAATGTCTGATTCTGATGTAACATTACTTAAGTGAGTAAACGGTCATCACAGAACAGTAGGACAGAGATACAAAGGTCTGTTTTTCCCCTTTCAGGGGTCATGTCTGATCAGAACTCAGACTTGGGGACAAACTTCCATCTGGATGGCAAAGGAAAAACCCCCACCAGCTCTGGTTTTTCTCTGCGCAAGGACCCGCTGAGGAGAAGCACCACCACAAAAGGGACCGGATTTGCACTCCCTCCTAGGCCTGCGCCCAGACACGGTGCTCTGGCCACTTGCCTCTCTTGGTTCACGCCTGGCAGCATGTTCCTTTTTGTGTTTTAAAATATTTAACTGCTTCCTTCCTGACAAGCTTCAAATTTTAAAAATATCAAATGGGACATTGCCTATACAAGGAGATTGATAGAGGAAAACAAAATAAGCTTTTAGGCAAGAAGCAAATCGTGGTATATTTTCAAGAATTCTGTCAGACTGTCTTCCTCCAGTTTGTGATGTGGACTTTGTGCCAGAGACAGAGAACTTTCCAGGTTAAACTAGAGGATATATATGGCTGTGTTTTTTAAATTTTTAATTTTTAGAATAGTTTTAGATTTCTAGAAAAATTGTGAAAATGGTACAGATAATTCCCTCCCCCACCTGCCCCTACTGGTGACATCTTAGCATTTGTTATAATTAATGAACTAATGCTGATACAGTGTTATTAACTAAAATCCATCCCTCATTCACATTGCCTTTGTTTTCACTTAAATCTTTTTGCAACTGCAGGGTTTCATTCAGGGTTTAGTTGCCATGCCTGCTTAGGCTTCCTTGGCTGTGACAATTTTGCCAACTGCTTTTGTTTTCAATGACCTTAACAGTTTTTTTAAATGTATTTTTTAATTGAATTTATTAGAATGACATTGGTTGATAAAATTATATAGGTTTCACGTGTGCAGTTCTAGAACACATCATCTGGATACTGTATTGTGTGTCCACCGCCCTAAGTCAAGTCTCCGCCCTCCCCCATTTATCCCCCCCTTACCCTCTTCTGTCTTTTCCCCCAACCCCCCTTTCTTCTGGCAATCACGGTACTGTTGTCTGTGTCTATGAAGTTTTGTTGTTGGTTTTTGTGGGGTTTTTTTACTTAATCCCTTCACATTTTCACCCAGCCCCCCAAACCCCCTGCTGTCTAACAGCTGTCAGAATGACCTTGACAGTTTTTAGGAGGACGGGACAGGTTTTCTGTAGACTGTCCCACAGTTGGACCTGTCTGTGGGTTTTCTCATGAGTAGACTTGGGTTATCTGTTTTCGGGAGGAAGACTGCAGAGGGGAAGTGCCATTGGCATCACGTCATATCAAGGATCCATTCTCTCAGCATGACTTACCACCATTGGTATTGACCTTGATCATCTGGGTGAGCCGGTGTTTGTCAGTTTCTCCACGCTAAAGTTTTTTTTTTCCCTTTCCACGCTGTCCTCTTTGGAAGGAAGTCACAGTGTGCTTAAGTAGGGTGAGTTACGCTCCCTCCTGAGGGCAGAGCACCCCTGTTAATTGTTGTGGAGGTTTGCCTTGTTCTCCCCCTTTTAATAAGTTGTTTATTTATATCAATATAGACTCATTGGGTTAGAATCCAGTGGCACTTTATTTATTTTCTTTCTCATGTTGTTCCAGTTGTGGCCACTGGAAATGCTTTCAGTTGCTAATGTGTCTCTGCTGTACCCTCAAATATGTGTGTGTGTGTGTGTGTGTGTGTGTGTCTGTAATGCTCTGTTCGTGTTACACCTTCCCTCAGGCTCACCTGACATGTTTCTTGCTCCCATCTGAAAGTCAGCCGTTTCTCCAAGGACCCCGAATTCCTTTATTGGAAAATGGAATTAGACTTTTCTAAAATGGAATTAGAAAACTCTCTTCTTTTCTACTTAAAATTAATGAGTCAGAAGTCTTCACTCCTCGGAAATAATTTTTAAAACATTTTTTATTTAGCACTGTTATCTTCCCATCGTAATAATGCCTTGTTTGTGTAATAATTCCTAATGAGTTAATTGATTCTTACTATTAAGTAAGGGCTCGTTACGGCAGATCATCTGAAATTTTTTAAACTGCGGCTTTTCTCCCGCTGTTTTTGGAACTGTGACGTGTCCATGGTGCACGGGGCAGTGAAGCCACTGGGACTATCTGGGGAGCCTCAGAGGCCACTTTTCCTGATATTGGGGTCCGTGACTCTCACACCTCCACATAGAAGTTTAAAAATCTAAATGATAGTGCTTTGTTACCTAATGTCTCACCATCAGGGAAAAATTTGAAAGGCTTTCAATGGAGAACCTCTGCCTTTCAGGCCCCTTGTTGCTCCCCGGTATATAGTGTTTAATCCCAGGTGTGTTTTTTCCTTTTCAAAACATCAGAACACTTTTAAAATTAACTTTGCATTTACGGCTTGAAGCAGTGAACCAGGAAGTAAAAGCACGCGCGGACACCCGCAGGGCTCTGCTGAGCAGTGGCCTGTTTTTCTGCTGCTGGTCTCACAGTCTCCGTTCCCTTCAGGTCTGACTGAGACAGCGGTCTTCAGCTGTGAAGCCCACAATGACAAGGGGCTGACCGTGTCCAAGGGCATACAGGTCAACATCAAAGGTGAGAAGCGGGGCCGGCCCCTTGAGCATGTCTGGGAGTTGGTGTGGGGGCGCAGCTGGAGCCCGGGCTTCCCCACTGACTGCTTCTGTGCACTTGGACAAGTCACCTGACCTCTCTGGCTTGTGTCCCCTCTATAAAATGGGGTAATTACAGAGCCCACCTGTGCTGGAGGCTTAAATGAGAACACACCAGTAAAAGTGCTCACCACAGTGCCTGGCATGCAAGTTTGGTAATAAACGTGAGCTAGTTTAGCTCTGCTCAGTCTGAGAAGAAAAGAGGCTGAAATGTCTACCTTGATCACCTCAGCCCCCGTTTTCACTTCTCCCTCTTCCCGCCTGAGCTAGTCCAAGTTACCCATGGAAGAGCCCCTGGGGCGGGGGCTCCGTCCCTCCCAGGGCAGCAGGGGTGCAGCACGTCCACCTGCGGCTCTGAGGTCAGGGGAGGGGCAGGTCAGGGTCACTCTCCTTCTGCGCCTGCTCCTCTGTCTTTTTCTCCTCACCTCTCTGTCCCTCTTGCTCCCTGTAAGCTGGGACAGAAGGTAATAGAAGGCTAGTGTGGAGACTTTCCAATCCAATCAGCTGCCTCTTTTTTTTTTTTCTGTGGGATCCTGAAATTTGAGAAGGAAGGAAAACCCAAATGTAAATACTGACTTTTTATCCCTTTTCAAATCCCCTTCCTTATCCGCTTTTACAGGAATTCAGGCAAATTTTATGTTTTAGCATTTGTTCCTAATGAGGGGGCATTTTCTAAAAGTTCATTGGAAGGAAAAAATGAGCACATTGCATGTCACCACTGGGAGAACTGGATAACTTCCTTCCTTTGTTCCGAATCCCATCATTGCCACTTTCAAAGGAAACGTTGGGAATTTCAAAAATGCATGAGTGGGAATAAACTTATAAAGACATTTTCATCAAGTGTAAACATCCTAAAAATCCAGCAAAGGTGAATTACTTCTTTAACTTTTGCTTCTCACAGCATCTCAGCTTTTTAAAAAAATAAATCCTATTTCCAAAACTTATGCTTTTGGCTTTTATTTATTTAAAAATTTCTGTCAAAGCAACGAAGACTCCTTTCTTCTTATCTGCTATTAACTAGTATCTGTGGCCAAATTTTGATGTGGGAAAGCAGGCACGTCCTGGCAGTTCTAAAACTAATCTGTTTAGAGGAGTGAGTCAGATAACATGCTCCCCCTCCCCCACTCACCAAGCTGCACGTCTGCGGGTAAAACAAACTACTGAACACGGCAGCCAGCGTGTGCTCACCAGGGCCCGGTCCTCCCGCCATCCTGTTACTGCCTTCCCGCCCCCACGCCCTCCTCAGACCTCATGTGTCAGCTCATTTTATCCCCACCATGCCCCATGGAACAGCACTGTTACTGTCCCCATTAATAGAAGAGGGAACTGAGTTTAGAGAGGGCACTCAGCTGTGCCCCGGGCCATGTAGCCGGCCAAGTGGCGATGAGATGCCCAGTCCCCGCGGGTGCTCCCGCTGGCCTGCTCGCTGCCCCTCCACTGGCCTCCCGTGGCCTGTTGAGGGGCACGAGCTCTGGGGTCAGGCACACCCGAGTTCAAGTTTGCACTCCGCTGCTCTGTGACCTTCGGCAAGTTGTCACTTCTGTGATCCCGTTTCCTCATCTGTAGATGGAGATGGTAGGACGACCTCTCCAATAGGGTTCTAATAATAATGAGATGAGGTGGAGGCCATAAAGTGGGGCACGTAGTAGGCACACAACATTAGTCATCATATTTTATTGTAAGTGCGAATATTACTCTTAATTAAGAATTAAATTTAGCATGAGAAAATACAACCACCAAATTTCAGATTTTTAGGTTCTACTTGAAATACCTGTCCACATCCCACGTGTGGCCAAGGTCATTGCACACTCATTATGGTCCCCCCCCAACACACATGCACACACATGCAGATACATGCACAGCCATGCTCCTGTGGTATCCCCCTCGCTTCTCTGCACAGGATGCTCTCATCGTATATTCATGTGGGTCTCCTCAACTCAGGCAAGAGCTCCACGAGGGCAGGGCTGTGCCTCTTCTTCCTCACTGTGTGCCCAGCAAGGCACCTGCACACAGTTCAACCGTGGACGTGTGCTCAGTAAAGGAGATGGACATGTCCACATCCTCCCCAGCTAAAGCTCTCCCTTCATCAGTGGGCACAGAAACAGGCCTGTGTCCCCCCGTTCTCCCCCAGGCAGAACCACCCCATCACTGGAAGGCCTGTCTGTAGGTTAACATAGTCACCCTCAGGCATAGGGTGGCTCCGCTTTAAAACTTGTGTTTAATTTTTCTGTTCTTAAGAAATGGAAAGGGGCTTGGCATTAACATGTCTGGTCGTTTGGCCTCCTGTGGTTTATAACTGTGTGTGTGTGTCTTTGTTTTTTATGTAGCCCTGCCCTCCCCGCCAGCTGAAGTCAGCGTTCAGAACAGGAGCGCACATGGCTTCCTGGTCTCCTGGGTCCCGGGCTTTGATGGATACTCCGTGTTCAGCAGTTGCAGCATTCAGGTAAACAAACCTCCAGGGTACAGAGGACGTCACTGTTGGTGCCCCGTGGGTCTCCTGACTTTTCCTTTCTCCGGCGGATGGGTGCTGAGGGCGTCTCCACACCTCTCTTCAGGGTCCTTCACCTCCTCCCACCTCACTGTTCACCTGCGTGCACCACCTTATGGTCTTCTGCCGCAGAACACTGCCTCCCTCCTGTGCATGGCCAGGGCCCAGCTGGGGGGAACGATGAGGCCTACGGGAATTGATTTTTAAGGTACAAAAACACATCCCTAAATTGGGATTGGCGTGCAGCCAGAGCTCAGGAAGCCAGGTGCTCGTCAACCTGGCTCCTCCTGGGCTGGTAGCCATGAAGGCACGAGTTGGGTTGTCTTTGCTATTGAATGTAGCACCTTGCCCTGTGCTTGGGAAACCTGGGGCTTACAGGCCTTGCAAAGGCTTCACCCATTTTTAGCCACTACCTGAAACAGGTATAAAATAAAAGTGAGCCATCCTACAATGATTCCGTGCCGTGATGTAGTCTCTGCTCTGAGTGTTAGTTTTGTAAACATGAAAAGTAACCCTACTGCTTGTTTCCTGAGTGCCTAAAATGGCCCAGGGCCTTTGCAGACACTGTCTCACTGAAACCCACACCAGCACTGCAGGCCCAGGGCCCAGAGGGGCAGAGCCAAACTTGAGGCAGAGAAGCTTATGCCACAAGCAGTGCTCAGAGCCACCTGCCTCTCCGTGTGTCAGGAGAGACATTGCGTGTGGGACCTGATAGTGAAGGCATGTGGATTATCTGCTGAACATGCAAATGTGTTCTGCCTGGCTCTTTATCATACAGTATGTGCAAGATTTGTTCTTTGTTTCATAAATGTCTGGCCTTATGAGTCAAAAACATGTTAAGCACAGGCCATTTATACCCACTCACCTTAAGGAAGTGACTTCCAAAGAATTTTGTGTTGACAACCAGATGTTTTTAATACCAAACAGAATTAGTTTCGCTGCTCTCATTGCCCTCCACTATTGTCTAACAGCTGCCCTTGTTTTGAAGAGTGAGAACGTGCATTATCCCCCAAACAGCCTGCACCCTCACCCCGCCTCCCCCAGCCTTGCTTAGTTCTTGCCGGGCTTTATTTGTAAACCTCCCAAGTACCAGGCACTGGTAAGTGTCAGGGGTTCTTGTTGTGTCTACAAAGTCCTCACTGGGGATATTTTTTTAACAGTTTTTTGGAGATACATTTCGCACACCATAATATTCACCCTTTTAAGTGTACAATTCAGTGGTCTGTCGTTGACTCCCAAAGTCACCCTCACCGCTGTCTCTTTGAGTCTGTATTCAAAGGAGATACTGGGCTGTAGTTTTCTTGTGTTGGCTGCTTCTGGTTTCAGCATGTGGGTGGTACACAAAATGAGTTGGGAGGTGTTTCTCCTTTCCTATTTCTTAGAAAAGTTTGTGAAAGGTTGCTGTTCATTCTTTTTAAATGTCTGGTAGAAATTGCCAGAGAAGCCATCTGCTCCTGAGATTTTCTTTGTGGGAAGTTTTTTGAATACTTGCTCAATTTTTTTATTTGGTAGATCTGTTCAGATTTTCTATTTCTTCTTGACTCACTTTTGGGAGTTTGTCTGTTTCTAGGAATTTGCCCATTTTCTCTGGGGTATCTAATTTGTTGGTATACAATTTGTTCATAATATTCAATTATAAACTTCTTTTTTCCATAGAAGCTAGTAGTAATGGCTCCTCTTTCATTCCCGATTTTAATAATTTGAGTCTTCCCTCCTTTTTATCTTGGTCAGTCTAGCTGAAGATTTATAAATTTTATTATCTTTGTGAAGAACCATTGTTTGCCTTTATGAGTTTTTCTATTCTCAACTTCACTCATTTCTGCCCTAATCTTTATTTCTCCTGTTTGCTTTGGCTTAGTCTGCTGTTCGTTTGTTGTGGTTTTTTTTTTTATTGTTTCTTGTTAAAGTGGAAGGTCGGGTGATTGATTTTAAATTTCTTCTTTAAATATGGGCATATATACTCATTATTTCCCTCTGCCCTGCATTAGTTGCATCCCCTAAGTTTTGTGGAGGGTTTTGTTTGTTTTTCCAGTTTATCTCAAGTTTGTCATTTTCCATGTTGTTTTCTTTGTTTCCTGTTGGTTTTTTAGGAGTGTGTTGTTTAACTTTCATGTGATTGTGAATTTCTCAAATGTTCTTTCTTTGTTGATTTCTATTGTTATTCCATTTGCAGGATACTCTTGTATGATTTTCATCCTTTAACTTTATCAGGGCTTGTTTACGACCCAGCTCAAGTTCTGCCCTGGACCCTACTCTGTGTGCCCTGAAGGGGGGATTATTCAGCCGGGGCTGGGCGGAGTGTTCTACATCTGTCAGATTGAGTTAATTTATAGTTTTGTTCAGTTCTTCTGTTTCCTTGTTAATCTTTTGTCTGGTGGTTTTATTGATTATGGAAAGTGGGGAATTGAGGTCTCAACTGTTGTTTTTGAATTGTCTATTTCTCCCTTCAGCTTTGCCAGTTTCTGCTTCGGGTACTTCAGGGCTCTGTTGTTGAGAAGTACCAGAGTCTCTTTCCTCTTGTACGGCCCTGAATGCCCCTATGTACGGGCACCTCTCAGTGGGTGAGAGGGGGTCTCAGGGTAGATGTGAAGTGGAGGGGGGTGGCTGGAAGGTCTGCAAACTCCAGGTTGCCCCGAAGGAGGAAGGCGGTGATGACATGCGAGCTTCACCTGCTCTCTCTGCCTTTGCCTTGGCTTCGGGTGGCCATAGCCTGAGAACAGTCATCCTGCCTCGCCCACTTCGGACCCTGGGGCACCAGCATGGTTAGTCTGTCTTTGCCCCACCTGCTGGCTCTGCCTCCCTTCACCCATTCTCCTTTCCATCTCTGGTAGGGTGACCAGATTTAGCAATTAAGGATAATATTTTACAAGTTAAATTACACGAGTAATTTGGTGATGTACCTATAATCATTTGTAGTTGATTTGAAATTCAAATATAACTGGGCCCTTTATTTTCTCCTGCAGTCCTAACAGCGTTAGTCAGGACTGGCTTGAGAAGTTATAATTTCTATTCTGCAGATTAACAATATATTCCATTTCTAAAGCAACCAAGGATAGTTTTGTAGTAGGTCCCCACTCCACTACAGTTTTAAACTCTGACTAGGTAACAAAGGAATGTTCCTGCAGAGATTCAGGTCCACGCAGCAGCAGGACACACCCTCCCACTTCCTTTGGTCCTGACATGAATCCCTTCCCTCACCCATTTTTGGGCTGCATATTCCAGGGCTATTTTTAAGTCTCCCACGTACTTCTTGCTGCTTCAGCCCCTCTTTTCCCCCAGGACCCACTGAGCAGGATTGTTACAGAAACCCCGTATTCTTCCAGGAACATGCTCTCAAAGAATATCTTGTGCCTGGAAATGCTGTCTCTACACATTGCTCCCAAAATGGGTGGGTGCGAACCACAGGGTCCCTCCACCTTCGTTATGTCGTCGGTCACCAGGAAGGAGGCTCATGCTCTAAAGTGAAGAAACAAAGTGGTTTCTGCCAACCACCACCACCGAGATGAACCTGTAGCTTATTGAGACACCTCAGGCCAGCTGGTGCTTCTTGTCACCCAGTGGGGCCTCTGGTTCTTAGCTGGAAGTCAGGCTCAGCCCTAACACCAACCCTTAAGGCATTGTTAGTGGATTTGGAATTCTGGAATGTTATCCGTGGCTCATTGGCCTAAATTTCAGCACCTATGTCCTGAAATGACAGCATTGTGCTTCCTCACCCCACGATTGCCAGCTCATTATTGAGTAAATACAGGGTTTAAGAATTTTTTTCCCAAATTGCTTCTGGTTACTTCTTTTTTTTATTCAATACCATTTTGATTTTCCTGATTTTATAAGTACTCCATTTCATAGAAATTTTTTAAAATGTGTGCTGAAAAAAACCACTCCCCAATTGCCCCCTGCCCAGACCGGAGGGGTGCTTAAGGAGACCTGGAGAGACTTTTGCTGGGAATCCCCTCTCCTGCCTGTGAAGACAGAGGACACCTGGGGAGGGATGTGGGGACCCTGGTAGGTTTATGGAGGGAAGGGTGAAGAGAAGGAACTCAGATCAGAGAAAAAGCTGATTTGTTTGGAGAAAAGTTTGTTGGGTGAGATGTAAATGACCATTCCTCTGTCTCCCCACCAAAAAAATGTCATAAAATCCACCTTCTCTGTGTATGCTTTTGGGGTGAATTTATGTTGGGGTGGAGTGGGGGAAAGAACAGTGAACACGCTAAAATTCTCCTCAAGGAAGAGCAGAGGGTCCTCAGGACACATGACAAAAAGAAATGCAGATTAAAACAAAACCCAGTATCCCATCTTCTAAAGGAGGATTTGGGAAGGGTTTTCTTTAAAGGTCTGGATAATAAATATTTTAGGCTTTGTCACCATATGTCTGTTGGCTTTGTTGCATATTCTACGAAACAGCTGAAAGAAATCAAGACTTGAGGTGGTTCTGAGAGAAGAAGGGCTATTTCCTATTATGTATTCTAAGCATTGTAATATAATGATAATTATTGCTCTGTTGCCTGCCCCATTGAGAACACTTATTTCAGGCCTTTCCTCGGGTCCTCCATTGTTCCTGCAGCATGAGTAATACTCAGTAATGCCCTTGGGGACAGTGGTGTGTGGCCTGGAAGGAAGCAGGTACTTCCTTCCGGTCTGTGGACAGGAAGGGCCACGTGCTCGGGTTGCCTGAGAGCCCCATGTCTGACATTCCCACTACCTTACTAATGCCGGGTCCACGTCTTTACTCTTCATCTAGGTCAAGGAAGTTGATCCTCTGAGTAATGGCTCCATCATGATTTTTAACACCTCTGCTTCTCCACCTCTGTATCAAATTGAGCAGCTGCGAGCTCTGGCTAATTACAGCATTGGCGTGTCCTGCAGGAATGAGATTGGCTGGTCCACGTGGAGCCCTTGGATCCTTGCCAGCACAACCGAAGGAGGTAATTCCTGGTGTTCAGAATATTGCTTCAAATGGCATGTGATTACACAAGTCCTTCCCAGTGGCCTGATTGAGAGTTTAAATTTTGCTTTATTTGGTCTTTGCCTCCAGAAGAAATTTCTATTGTGATGGCCAGTGAAAATGAGAAAGAAATTTATAAACTACATTTAGGTATTACTTTGTGTGTGTGTAAGAAGATACTAATAGCAGCATACTCTTTATAGCATATATTATTTTAATTAAAATATAATAACAAAAACTGTTATTACTCATAACATAAACTCAAGAAAACTAGAGAATTTGAAGATGGCTAACATTCACCAAACGCTATGTGCCAGGGACCGTGTTAGGTGCTTTACATGCATTATCTCGTTAGTTCCTTACAGCGGCCCTATGGAGTAGGTACTGTTATCTCTATATTTTGTTGCTCATAACAAATTTTACTTACATCTTTAAACTTTAAAGAATTTTCATGTACCGTTTTTGAATTCTGAGATTTTTTCCTTTTCTGTGACTATTGGAATAAATATTGTAGTTCTGTTACATCCGAGTCACACAGTCCTCATTCTCCCCCAGCTGGAGCGCTGGGGCACACAGCACCTCGTACAGGCCCGTAACCCCAGCCGTACACAGTCAGTGATCTGGCCTTAATACGGACTGTGCGTCAGGCCCGGATCAGAAATCGTTCGGGCCTAATCCTTGCACACATGGAACTCTAGTGCCCATATTGTAAAACACCTCTTTTCTCAAATGAGAAAGAAGAACCTTGGAGAACAATTTTTATATGCTGAGTTTCATTTTCAGTGAGCTCAAAATACTTTCTGGTTTCTTCTTTGACCCATTAGTTATTCAGGTATGTATCTTATGTTTTCAAATATTTGGGGGTTTTATGGAGATCTGTATTTTGATTTCTAATTTCATTTTGTTGGGTCTGGAGAATATAATTTATTGAAACTCATTTTATTATCCAAAATATGGTCTATCTTGATAAATATTTGCTGTGCACTTGAAGAGAAATATTTATTCTGCTCATATTAGATGGTGTACTCTATAAATGTCATCTTGTTAAAGTTGATCGTGTTTTTCAAATTGTATTTTTATTGATTTTCTTCCTACATCTATCAGTTACCTAGAAAGAAGCATTGACATCAGCAGTTATAACTGTGGCTTTATCTATTTCTACTTGCAGTTCTCTAGCAGCTTTTGTTTTAAATGTTGCGAGGCTCTGTTACTTTGCACATAAATGTTTAATATTGCTATGCGCTCCTAATAAATTGACTGCTTTTATCATTATGAAATTATTTTCTTTATCCTGGGTAATATTATCCTCTGTGAAGTCTACTTTGTCTGATATTATAATAGCCATTTTAGCTTTTGATTCCACGGTGTATCTTTGTTTCATCATTATTTTCAATTTATTTCTACCTTTATAGTCAAAATGTGTTTATTTAGGGAACATATACTTCAGTCTTGCTTTTTAATCCATTCACAATCTCTGCCTTTAAATTGGGGTATTTAAATTTGTAATCCATTAAAACATAATGTGATTATTCATATTCTCTTGCTCATAGCAAATTTCATTTACATCTTTAAACTTTAGGTTTAAAGGTTAGGTTGAAATCTGTCACATTTATTATTTGTTTTGTCTGTAGTTTGTTCTCTTTTTCTTCTTGTGGATTAATTGAATATTTTTATTCTATTTTATCTCCTTTGCGTATTAGCTAAAACTCTTGTTTTCTGTTTTTCTCATGGTTGCTTTAGGGTTAATAGTATACATGTTTACTTTATCACTGTTTACCTTCAGTGATGTTATACCACTTCATATATTGCACAGGAACCTTCAAATAGTATACTTTCATTTTCTCCTGATATTTGCACAATCGCTATTATCCATTTTAGTTTTATGTGCTGTAAATCCACATGGCATTGTGATTATTTTTGTTCAATCAGTAATTTTTTAGGGTGACTTATATAATTAGAAAAAAAACATATATTTACCCATGAAGTTACCATTTCTAATTTTACTCATTTATTGGTATAGATCGACATTTTCATGCACAACATCATTTTCTTTCCTAAAGGCCTTCATCATTTCATTTAGTATGGATCTGGTGAGGAATTAAGCTTCTGTATGTCTGAGAAAAATCTTTGTTTTACCTTTGATATATTTATTTTGCCTTTCTTTTGAAAGCTATTTTTACTAGATACAGAATTCTAGGTTCCTTATTTTTTTCTTCAGTGCTTCAAAAATGTTGCATCACTATCTTCTTGCTTGAATTATTTCTGATAAGAAATCTACAGTAGTCTTTATTTGTTCCTCTGTATGTAATGTATCTACATGTATTTGTCTCTGGTTTTCTCTTTATTGTTGATGTTAAGCAATTTGTGATGTGCTTTGGTATAATTTTTTTTTTTAAATCCTCACTGGAAGACATGCTTATTGATTTTAGAGAGAGAGAAAGGGAGGGAGGGAGGGAGAGAGGGAGGGAGTGGGAGAGAAATGGAAACATCGATGTGAGAAACGTCACTGGTTACCTCTCCCAGGCACCTCAGCCAGGGACTAGACACAACCTAGGCATATGCCCTGACCGGGAATCGAACCCTCAACTTTCCATTTATGGGATGTCGCTCCAACCAACTGAGCCACACCAGCTGGTGTATTTTTTTTTAATAGCGCTTGTGGGTGATTGAAATTCTTAAGTCTGTGTGTTTATGGTTTGCATCCAATTTGTAAACATTTTAACAATTGCTTTTTCAAATATTTTTTCTGTCTCTACCCCTCTCCTTCTTAGAGGATTCCAATCACACATATACAAGGTCTGTCCAAAAAGTATCCAGCCCTGTACTATGGACAATAGAGACGTTTATTGAAGAAGACACAAGATACAAGAAACATTGTACATAGGACAATGATGCCTCAGTCCCCTTCAAAGTAGGCACCTTGGGACCTCACACAGTTCTCCCAGTTGCCATGAGCTGCCCTGCCATATTTTCCTTAATCTCATTGACGGTCTGAAATCTCTTCCCTTTCAGAGGTGATTTTAGTTTTGGGAAAAGCCAGAAGTCCCAGAGTACCAAATCTGGGCTGTAGAGACACTAAGTCACCTGGGTGATTTGATGTTTTGCCAAAAAAGTCTGTGTGAGATGTGCTGCATGAGCAGGTGCAGTGTCATGATGAAGCTGCCAATCACAAGTTGCCCATAGCTGTGGCCTTCTGAGTCATCCAGATAGTTTCCCCAGAGGAACGAATGTTCAAGCTTAATGCAAAATTGGATGCAGATTCGTTGCTCTACTCACTCAGTCATTTTGAATGTGATGGCTGCACAGTACACATGCTCACTCAATGGCACCTACTGCCCCCACTGACTAGTACAGTGAGGTCGTCATTGCTCACGCATGCATATTCCAGTCCATTCTCCTTGGCTGCCAGGTTACATCGATGTCATGCAAACTGTTCTTGTTGTGTTAACAATGGCTGGAATTTTTCCTGACAGACCTCGTATTTGATCACTTGAAGTTGCCTCATAACTCATTGATAGTCTTGTTTTTTTTCCTTATTTTATTTTCGATAGTTTCTATGGTGTTTTCAAATTTACTGGCCTTGTGTGGTGTCTAATCCACCACTAATTCTATCTAGTGTATGTATATTTCATCTCTCACATTGTAATTTTTGTATCTTTTTGTGCCTTTCATGTTTGTACTTAACTTTTGGACCATATGGAATGCAGTTGTAAAAACTATTTTAATGTCCTTGCTAATTCTAACATCTGTGTTATTTCTGGGGCAATTTTGATTGATTTATTTTATATTCATGTTATGTAGAGGACTTTGCAATTTCTTTGTATAGCTAGTAATCTTTGATTGGATTCCCAACATTGTGAGTTTAACCTTGTGGGATACTAGGTATTTTTATGTTCCTGTAAGTATTGAGCTTTTGGGAGGGACATTGTTAAACTATGGAAAAAAGTTTGATCCTTTTGGATCTTACTTTGAAGATTTGTGAGGCAGGATGAGAACAGTGCTCACTCTAAAGTCAATTGTTACGCACCAGTAAGACAAGACCATTATGTGTGCTCTGTCCGTTGCTCCTCGAATCATTAGATTTTCCAGTCTGTTAGCTGAGAACAGGCACTACTCCTGGCCCTCAGTGAGGCGCAGACACTGTTTAATTCTTTCATGTGTTGTTGTTCCTGTCTCCCTCCTAATGACTGCATAGCCTGCTCCTGGGCATCTGCCTCTCTTGGTTCACTCCCTCATTTTCATGGAGCACATTTTCAAGTAGGTTCAGGGAAAGTACATGTAAAATATAAGAACTGTGGGAATGTGCATGTCTTCATATCATACTGGAGTGATAATTTTTCCTAATGCAGAATTTTATGTTGGAAATTATTTTCTCTCAAAATTTTAAAAGCATTTCTGCATTGTTTTCTATCTTCAAGAGTTACTGTGGAGAATTCCACTACTTATGTTTTCTATATGAACTGTTTAATTTGTTTTTTAAAATGCTTTTTTTCTCTTTAATTGCAGGGTTGTGATGGGCTGTGATGTGGGATCTGTTTGTCATCATCGTAACCTTTAAGTGGCTCTTTTGATCTAGAAATGAAAGTGCTTTGGTTTTGAGACTTTTTCTGAAACATTTTTTTCCTTTGAAAATGTTCTGTTTTTCTGTCCGGAAATTGTATTAGGCATTGTTGGACCTTTTTGATGGCTTCCTCAATATTCTTTTCTCAAATCGACCTGCTGTTAAATTTTTATTCCACTCTTGTGGAGGTTTGCTAGATTTCTAATTCTTCTATTAAATATTTATCATATTGCTAAGTTGAAGAGTTTTCTTTTTCATTGACAATTTTTTTTTTTCAGTTCTTAAGTATGAGAACCTTTACCTATCTTTGGGTATAATAATTATCAGGTTTTCTGTTGCTTTAGTTTTCTCTAGTTCTCTACACCAACTTCATCTCCTCTGATCCCTCGTCCCTGTGTGTCATTTGGCTCTCATTTCCTTGACCTCTGCTGATAGTGCACTGTCCACTCCTACTGAAGAGCGGAGAGCCAGCGATGTGATAGGATGCTCTGAGAGAGTGGGTGGGGCAAACATCACTGTCAGGTGATTGGACAGTGACCTTAAGTGTTTGGGTCAGGTTAGGATATCCCCAAATGTTGATGTTGGTTTTCTTTCCTCTGGGACCTCTTACTTTGTCTAGAAAAGATGTCTCCTGTCTGCTGCCTCATGAATAGCAGCCAGGTGGGGAGGACAGGTAAGGTGGAGTCCTCCTCACTCAGGGCACAGACTTTCGCTTATTTCCCCGCTTGCCAGTCTGGCCCCTCTCGTGCCTCCATTCTATTGGTGCTCTGAGCCCATAGGCGTTTCAGTTCATAGAATAAGGCATCCTGTCTCCTGTGGGGATTTGAGGGAGTTCCGGCCAGGTGTATGGGAATAGGTTAGAGGAGTCTCAAGGATGAACAGCTTCCAGATCAAACTTTCAGTCTTCCAGTTTAGTACCTGGGCCCACAGCTTCTGAGCCTCTCCCGGTGCTTTTGGCAGAATCAGCTTGCTGAGTTAATTACACCTTCTTTGTTTCTTTTTCAGCTTTCAATTATATGTTGAAATTTCTCTCCCACTGTTGACTCCTCTCTACCTTATGAGTTTATACTGTTTTAAATTCCTTACTGTTGTCATAGAGGGTTAGAAGGGAACAGATGTAAAGACACGTGGAGTCAACCACGTTTATCATAAATTCTGGAACAGGTTTGAAAGTACGATTCATTTCACAGGTACAGCTTTAGTTCTATGAACTGTCCTACGCTGAGATCCCTTCTAACTGCTCCTGGAACCAGCAGAGATGAAGGTTAGGTTTCCCTCTTCTTTTCCTTTGAGGCATATCAGAAATATATAACTACAGGCAACAATTTGGTATATATTATTCTAATTGCCTTAATTCTTTCATGTATAACAAACACTTTTTAAATTTCTAAAATGGAGCATTGCTCATACTGTTTAGCAATTTGATCTTTACCTCCATTAGATATTTTTTCATATCAATACACATGATCTACCTTTTTTTTAAAACTGACCGAACTGTAAGTTTTCCATTGGAAAAATATCAGAATTAATTATATCACAATTATTGACTGCCTACATTTATTCCTTTTTGTCACTGTTTTGTTTCATTGAATATAATGCCACCCACAGGAGAATTTTTGTAGATTAAATTCCTGCAAATAAAATACTTGGCCAAAGAACTATATCTATTTTCCATTTTAATAGATAGAGTCAAGGTTTCTCCCTCCCAAAAAGAATATAGTAATGACCTTGACCTGTTTCCCAATATACATTGTGCTACATACTTTCCAAAGTGCTTTAACTTTCACTGTGTTCAGAGATGACGTTTTGACATAAAGTAGGTATGTGCCTTAGCAGAATTTACTGTAAACCAGGGAGTGAAAACCAGTGCTAAATGCTGCTTTTTGACATCTAGCTTAGTAATTAACATTTAAGCCTCAAATCTCTAATAACGAAACATCTGACACATATACAGTAAGTTCCTGACTGACTAGTTCTCCTCAGACCATCAGTCACCTGCCTCGGGACTTGAAGGTGGAGTTATCCTCTGAAGTATGCGGAGTTCCCTGCCGTGTATGTCTCACATGACACCGACGTCACATCCATTTGGTCGGGTTGACCTTCTGCCTGTCGCGTTTCTGTTGGAGAACCCTGTTCAAGCGTGTCTGCTCTGCTTCCCCAGGGAGTCCATGCGCACCACCCACCGCCCTCCCTGTCTTCCTCTTCCTTGTTCTTTTAGTTTGGAAAGGGCTGACTTTTAAGAACTCATGTGCTGTCTCAGTGGTGCTTAACTGAAAAGAAGGTGAAAATCTGCTATTCATCTCAGTCTCATTTGAGTGCTTTCCTGGAACATTTGAAAATCAAACATTCAGAAGCCGAGAAGAGAGAGAGTCTCTGTGTGCTTTTCTTTGTTGTTCTTCATCCTTCTCTCCTTTTCCTTTTAGCCCCATCGGTAGCACCTTTGAACGTCACTGTGTTTCTGAATGAATCTAGTAACAAGTTGGACGTCAGATGGATCAAGCCTCCGATTGAGCGGCAGGATGGGGACCTGGTGGGCTACCGGGTATCTCACATGTGGCAGAGTGCAGATGCCTCCGTAAGTCTGAGCACTAACAGAGTGCGCTTGTCTCCTCTGATTTGCTGGTTCAATGCTGTTTTAGAAGCTTTTGTTTTGTTGTGAGAATACCAGATGTTACTGAGAGAGGCAAGGCAACTTCCAGTGGAGTGTGGAGAATGTCATAAAAATTAGAGGTGACTGAATAATTACGAAATTTCAAGGAACCTTTGGTGCTTTCCTCACTTACTCATTTATCCATTCATTTATGTATTCAGTATATACGTGTAGAACTCATCTCTGTTATCACCTGATTTCTGCCTTTGGGGAGCTTGGGCTCTTGGAGGAACTACCCACATAAACATAGCAGATGGTTGAGAAGATACAGGGCTTAGCAGGCCAGCAATTCATAGCCTCTCGGAATTCCAGGGGACACTTTTCTGAAGAAGAACCCAGCTGCATAGAGAATAGCAAGGGGTAACCCAGACTCTGAAGGAGAGGGCTCAGCAAACAACATGCTGCCTTGACATGTCTCCATAGGAGCTGAAATTAGACATAAGTCTCAACCAACCAGGGCAAAGCATTTGCCACTCACAGCACATCAGACAGACATCAGCCTAGTGACACAGGTTCCCTGCCCCCAAGCTCCATGGAGCTGTGTGATGAGCCCATTTATCGAGGGTCCTTTGGCCTAGAGATCGACACCCTGCGCAGTGAGAACAAACAGCCCATCCTCTGTGCAGCTGCACGGTGGTCTCACTGCTGCCACCATGACCCACTTCACCGTCTGTGTGAGCAGCCCCACTATGGCTCAGGGTCAGGGGCAGTTAGGCTTTGCCGTTTGCCCGCTCAGCAAGGATGTGCAAGGACGCTCGGGCCCTTGCAAAGGCCTCTCCAGTAAAGGCAGTAGTTGATCTGGGCTTGGAATGATCTTGACACGTGATGATGGAGGACTTCCAGATGGAGAAGGATAGCATGAGACGAGGCCTCATGTGACAGCTTAGCGGGATCATGACTCACTCAAGGCCCTGGGACATGAATGCTCTTAGGGGCGTGGTGTGAGGGGAAGCCGGACCAGAGTCCTGGCCGTGTGTGCAGGGCCCTGAAAATTGGCCGAGGTGTCACAGAGTTTGGCAGGTGGCAAGGGAGCCAGTGGGTGCCTGGAATTGAAGAGTCCAGTTAGAGTTGTGCATTACGGAGATGGCTGTTACATGACCACCACCCTTCCACAAAGGAGAAAACCGAGTTTGTTTAAAGCAACGTTCAACCTGCCTTCTTTCCACCAGAGCATACTGCCCACTGGCTGGCCACTCAAAGCTTGCTCCTGCTGCTCACTGGGAATGTGGGGGACCCTGCCCACCCCAGCAGTGTGACTAGGGCGGGGGCCCACTAGCTGGGAAAGGAGGGCAGGGGCCCTGAGGGTACCCCCAGCCCTGAAGGCAACCTTGATTTCTCCTCTTAAGCTCCTGATACAAATATTAATCTCATCTAAAAGATTCCTTTCATAGCAACACCCAGGTGTGTTTGACCACTTGTCTGGGTACCATTGGTACATAAAATCAACCATGGAAATAGTCAATGATTGAATAGTAACCTGTGCTGGAACTGGGGGATACGTTGATGTGTCAGAGTGTCAGATAGCCCGTTTTATCAACAAAAAGGGCAAGCTCCTCTGTAGTTCAGTAAGGACTCTCTGGTGTAAATACTAGTTTCATTGCACAGTAGCAAACAAAAAGTAGAAGGGTCTAAGTGTGAAATTTTGACTGCCTCCCTAAGTACTCCCCAGTGCGAGTGACTGTTTCAGGGGAGACTCTGGTCAAGCCACAGGAACACCGTGACTTGGTTGGAGTGATGTGTAAATATCACAGCTCTGGTCAGGGCAGTTGACCGAGGACAAAGGTGGGGGACACAGCTGAGTGATGAGGCCTGGGTGGAGGAGGTGGGCAGGTCTCTGTCAGGCCTCCTCAGCTGGGCGAGGAAGAGGGTTGAGGAGATGTTGACTGCTCCGTCGTGGGGTGGATGAAAGCAACCGGCTTTTGGCAGGAGAAAGGCCAGGGGAGCAGCTGCCCCCACTGATCATGTCCAGGCTTTGTATCATTTTCAGCCTCACGTCATTCAAGTTTTACCAAAACTGCTTTTTCCAGTAGGAGAATCGAGACTCATTCTTTTCCTTTTGTTGCCTCAGTTTACCTCCTAGGAAGCAGATGATGGAAATAGAGGAGAGAGAAGAGGGCTTAGAAGTCCATGGTTCCTCCTGTCTCATAGTAAAGGATTGCAGGCCATGATTGGTACTAGTCAAACCCTGTGTTAGAGTTGCAGCTACAGAAGAAGGAGCCTCACATCTTCTAGACTTTCCTCCCAGGACATTGTATAAAGTGCCTGTGGATTAACGGCATTTGCACTGTGGCTGGGTCAGGGGCATCAAATCTTAGAGGACAGGTCCTTTCAACAGTGCTGAATGCTTAGGACAGTACATGAAGGGACAATCATTGTGTTTCAATTCAATGGGAATTTTCCCCTCTGGTTGGCAGAAGGTGGTGATTACCGGCCGACAGTTAGGGTGCAGGTCCTTTTCTCTCCTCCTCCCCTGGTGTGGGAGGCAGCTCCTTCTTTAGAGGGGGACGAGCTGAAGGGCAGGAGTGACGGAAGCCCCATGATGACGCAGCCCGGAGCCTAATGCTGTCACTGCCACTAACCCTCAGCTGGGCCATGCATTGTTGTCGCCTTCGTTCCCATCAGTGCCCTCTGGTGCAGCGAGAACAGTGCTGCCACAGTTAGGGCTGCGACCTTTCCAGTCCTCACCTCCTTGGAGGCGCTGGGTCATCCCAGTGCGAAGGGCGCCTGCACTGAGATCACAGTGTACTTTGTGCATTGTGATGGTTTGTGACAACAGAAGAGTTAGGGGCTCACTTTACTTCGGACAAATCCTCTGATTCAGCTGAGCTTCCCACTCATGAGCTGCAAGAGGAGGCAAATAAAAACACAAGAACAGCCAACCCTGGGAGGAGCCCAAAACCGAAGTGACCTTGAAGTGACCTTTGCCCCCTTCCTCTCTATTCCTCAAACATCCTTCATTTCTGAGGGGCAAGGCTTGGACAGAACCTCATCTCTCAAATTGTCCTTCTGTTTCCAGTTTTAGAGAACTGTTACTAAAGCCGCATCTGTCAACTTTAGGAAGGCACTGGAATTGTGTATTTTTAAGAGAGATTCCCAGCCATGGCTCTAGCAAGGGTAGTTTTTTTGTATACACTTTTGGAAATTTGTTGGAAGTGGCCTTGGGGTGGATTATTGCAGTTACGCTTAAAACTTGGTTTTCAAAGTTTATACCTTCGTTATCACAACTATTGTATCAGTTCCAGACTAAGAAACGTCCAATATTTACCATGCGGACATTTACTAGTTCTTGATGAAGACATTTACCCTTTTTTTGTTCTATTTTTCTTATATCCTTTGCTTTTTTAATGAAAGTCCAAAGTCAGGAGCAGGTGTGGTGTTTTCTCCTTGAAACTGGAGCATGTCTTGCCCACCTTTGCCCTGTCTGAACATAGGACCTTGAACTTTCTCTGTAGGCATTTATGGCACTGTGGATTCCATGCATAGACCTGGCAGGCATTTCAACCAGTGGGAGAGTTTTTCCTTTGAATGGGACAGCCATTTCTCTTTTTTTCTTGAAATAATTTTTAATTTTTTAATTGCAGTTGACAAAGAGTATTATAGTAGTTTCATGTGTACAACCCAATGATTAGACATTTATATAACTTACTAAGTAATCACTCTGATAAATCTAGACCCACCTGACACCATACTTGGTTATTACAATATTACTATGTTCCCTATGCCGTACTTTACAACCCCGTGACTATTCTGTAACTACCAATTTGTACTTCTTAATTCCTTCACTTTTTTCACCCATGCCCCAAACCCCCTTCCATCTGGCAACCATCAAAATATCCCTGTATCTGTGAATATGTTTCTGTTTTGCTTTTTCATTTCTTTTGTTTTTTAGATTTCACATAAGTGAAATCCCATGAATATCTCTTCCTCTGACTTATTTCATTTAGCACAGTACCCTCCAAGTCCATCCACATTGTTGCAGATGGCAAGATCTCATTCTTTTTCACGGCTGAGTCATACTCTATTGTTTACGTTCACCACGTCTTCTTTATCCATTCATCTATTGATGGAGACTTAGGTTGCTTCCATATCTTGACTATTGTAAATAATGCTGCAATGAACATACGGATATATATGCCTTTTTGAATTAGTGTTTGGGTTTTTCTGGTAAGTACTGTATTTTGCCATGTATAATGAGCACCCACATTTTTGTTCACATTATGCATGGGATTATTATGCCCATGTATAATGTCCATCCTTATTTTTCCCTCAAAAATTTGGACAAAATAGTGAGCATTATACATGGCAAAATACAGGTACCCAGAAGTGGAATTGCTGAGGCCTTCTTTGTCTGTTCTTATATAGCCTTTGTTTTAAAGTCTGTTTTATCTGGTATAAGTATTGCTACTCAAGCTTTTTTTGTTTGTTTCTTCCCATTCTCATTAAATATCTTTTTCCATCCCTTTCAGTCTTTGTGAGTCTTTGAATCTAAAGTGTGTCTCCTATAGACATCATAGTAAGGGTCTTGTTTTGTTATCCATTCAGCCTCCATATATCTTTTGATTGGAGCATTTTATCCATTTTCACTTAAAGTAATTGTTGATATGTATTTATAGCCATTTTATTCATTTTTTTTATCTTCTCCTTCTTAAAAGTGTCTGTTTAACATTTATGTAATACTGGTTTGGTGGTGATGAACTACTTGAGCTTTTTCTTGTCTGAGAAGCTCTTTGTCTTTCAATGCTAAATGATAGCCTTGCTAGGTTAGTAATCTTGGTTGTAGGTCCTTGCTTTTTATCACTTTGAATCTTTTGTGTCACTCCCTTCTGTCCTACAAAGTTTCTTTTGAGAAATCAGCTAACAGTGTTTTGGGAGCTCTCTTAAATGTAAGTAACTGTTTTTGTCTTGCTGCTTTTAAGATTCTTTGTCCTAAAACTTTTACATTTTAATTATGATGTATCTTGGTATAGGCCTCTTGGAGTTCATCTTGTTTGGGGCTCTGCACTTTCTAAACTTGTGTTTAATTCCTTCACCAGGGCAGGGCACCTGTTTTCCATCATTATTGTTTCAAATAAATTTTTAGTTTCTTGCTCTCCCTCTTCTTCTTCCAGCACACCCATGATGTGAATGTGGGTACACTTGAAGTTGTCCCAGAGACTCTTTATACTATGCTTGTATTTTTGGATTCTTTTTTGTTTTTGCCATTCTGATTGGGTGTTTTCTGCTTCCTTATCTTCCAAATATCTGATTTGATCCTTTGCTTAAATTTACTCCTCTGCTGATTTTCTGTAGTAATATATTCTTTTAAAAAAAAAGTTATTTACTTACTTTTAGAGAGAGGGGGAGGGGAAGGAGAAAGGGAGAGAAACATCATTGTGTGGTTGCCTCTTGCGTGCCTCCTACTAGGGACCTGACCCACAACCCAGGCATGTGCCTGACTAGGAATCGAACCAGCAACCTTTCAGTTCATAGGCCAGCACTCAGTCCACTGAGCCATACCAATCAGGGGCATACTACAGTCTTCATTTCAGTTAGTGTGTTCTTCATTTCTGACTGGTTTTCTTTTATGTTTTATGGTTCCATTTTTATGTTTCCTCCTTCTTTTTTGAAGTTCTTACTAAATTCATCTACTCTTCCCCTAAGTTCCTTGAGCATCCTTATAACAAGAATTTTGAGCTCTGTATCTAGTAGATTGCTTGTCTCCATGTTGTTTGGTTCTTTCTCTGGAGTTTTGTTCTTTCATCTGGGACATGTTTCTTTCTCTTCTCATTTTGGTAGCCTCCCTGTTTCTGTGTATTAGCTAACATGACAAACTTTTATCTGCTAGTCCTTCCTGATTGAATATTGCTATTCACTGAGGCAATGAAAAGGGCCATATTCTTAAATATAGTTACAAATACAGGGTTGTGCTTTCTCAGAGAGTTGAAAATATTAAAGTCTTTCGATAACTGAACACACACACTGCTGTGGTCACCCTAATGAAGTAATGCCCACATGAGAAACAAGTCATAATGTTTCAGAAGATGTGCTTTTACATTCCCCAGTAGGCCAGGTCCACATGTTTTATCCATGAGTAAATTTGTAATCAATGTCATACTGTATTTCCAATTTCATTTCCTGAAAATGCTCTTATATTTTAAGTCTTTGAGGATATCGGCCTGTGTTGGTGAAAAGTGAAAGGTCAAAAATGAGAAATATGCAGTCAGCCCACGGCATGTGCCCATGACCAGACTGTCTCGTGCCAGGAACACGGCCCCACCTTCTGTACTTGGCACCTGACACTAAGGGGGATTATGCACAGGTCAGCTCCTACATGTGTGTGATTTTAAATTTTATTGCTTTAAAAGAAAAGAGAGGGAGAGAGAAAAATGTAAATTTGTTGTTCCACTTATTTATGCATTCATTGGTTGATTATTTTATGTGCCCTGACCAGGGATCCGGGATCAAACCTGCAGCCTGGGCATATCGGGACAACGCTCTACCCAACTGATCTACCCAGCCAGGGCCATGTGTGTGATTTTTAAATGGGTTTCTCTGTCCGCTTTCAGAATCAAAATTGAAATAATATTTCAGGATATGGATGTGGTCACACCTCTGTTTACACACTTGGCATCAAAACAGAAAGGATGAAAGACATTACTTTTTTAAAACAGTGATCATTTTAAAACTATATTGGAGGTTACTGTTTAGGAATATTTTTAGGAAAAAATTGTTAAACCTGCACTAAAATGTTTATCATATATATATATATATATATATATATATATATATATCTATATATCTTTCTAATCACTACTTCAAAATTTATCATAGTCCCACTCCTAGAGTGAATAGTTTTATGTCTTCTCACTATATGTGGCCAGTAAGCAGTGCCCAGCATCAGTCACATCCATACTTCAGTTTTACGTGGTGACAACAGCTGTCATGGGAGCCGTCGCTGCTCTTGGGTGACATTTGCTCCAGGCCAGGCACCATGCCAAGCACCATACACCGATTAGCTCTTTAATCATTCAAGAGACAGGAGGGGGAAATTAAAAAATCAGTTCTCTAGGTTTTCATATCTAAGCCAGTAGGTATGATAAAGTACTTTTATGTTTATTTCCAAAAGGATAATTCTGTTTTTGTTAGGATTTCTCTTCTTCGAGGGATTTAATTCTTTGACAGTGATGCATTTATCTCATTTTGAGACACTTTCTCTCAGAAATGAGGTCTTGTATTTGAGTGCATGTAGACGGAAGTGCGAAGCCAGAAGCGGGCCCGCGCTCCTGGTCAGGCGCAGAGTTGTGCACACTGAAGAGCCAGCGGGTGGTAAGCACCGAGGCAGGCGTGCCGTCCTTGGCCACTGCCTCACTCACAGCAGGGCCGCAGGGCCAAGGATTACTCTGCTTGATGACTTTCTGACCCCCACAGATTAGAGAATGACCCGGTAACCCAAAAGCAAAACCAGGTTTGGCACAAACGTGCTGTGAGTAGTAAGTCCTACAGGTTTAACACATGGTGCAGTGAATACAGAGAACAATAGTATATTATAATCATCACATTTTCCAAGAGACTAGATCTTAATTATTACAACTATTAAAAGGAAATGAGAATTACAAGAGGTGATAGAGGTGTTAACTATGGCTACAATGGCAATTATGTGATAGATGTTTCAAATCAACATGTTGTACACCTTAAATTCAACCAACTTACATGTCAAATACATTGCAATTTTAGAAAAAAAAACTGAGTTTACCATAAATAAGTGCTCTGTTTCTAAAAATATATTGCCCGAATATCCCAAACAATTGTAAATTATTAATCTGTTTACTTAATTAACAAACCCTTGGCAAGCCTTTTTGCAACAATAGAGTCCGATGAGATAGAAAAATCAAAAAGTTTTAAGTCCCAATTTTCCCTTATCATTGCTTGTCTGAGGGCATTTCTGGGACCTGATGGTCACTGCCTGTCAGATTTGGAAGCAATATCTGGGTGGCTGACCCTGGTCACCCCTTGGTCACGAGTGATGGGACTGCCCTGTTCCTGGTTCCACGTTGCATGATGGTTAGAAGTGATCGCATGCGACTGAATGACCAGGGGATAAAGCTACCCCCAAATCAGGCTCCTCTGTTCACAGGTGACCCGTGACAGCTGTGTCCACATGACATGGCAGTTCTCCTTTCTCTCTGTGAAATCAGGATTCCAGAGTCTATGCAGTTTCTATCTGGAAAGTCAGCTCAGACACACAGTTTCCTATCCCAGAGGCCATCATTCCAGTTGAGGTTTGAAAACAAAGGGTAAAGTCCTGTATAAACACTTAGCCCTGGTGACGTTTTACTTCTTTCTTCTATTTTTTTGTTTTGATTTTAGAGGAAAGGGTAGGGAGGGCAACAGGGAGGAAGAGAAACATCGATACGAGAGAGAAACATCCATTGGCTGCCTTCTGTACATACCCAGCTGGGGACTGAACCTGCAACCCAGGCATGTGCCCTGACCAGGAACTGAACTCTTGACCTTTTGATTTGCGGGATGATTCCCAATCAACTGAGCTGCACTGGTGATGCAGGTCCTAGTTACTTTTTCAAAAGTCATTTTTTTTCTGTGACATAACGGCTCATGTTACTTGGTGGTGGCTTTAAAACACAATAAATAAAAATAAAACCACATTTTTGAAAATTGGGCAAATTGTTCATTTGTCACTCTGGTAGAAAAAAAATGGTGTCAGCACCCTCCTAAGTGGAGATTTTAGTCAGAATTCTCATAATTAAAAGGAACAAGCCCCCTTGTACTGGTTCGAGGGCGCTGGCAGGCGATCAGCGTCAGGTGCAGTGTGGCTCCGGGTCAGTGTTCTGTGGGAGCGCTGCGGGGGCGTGGAGTCACTGGCTCTTGTCATCTGGCTGCTCGGCTCCATGCCCCCTGGCTCTTCAGAGGCGTCTTCAGTGCCACTCTAAGTGCTGTGCCCTCACAACCCTGGTTGCTGCCGGCCCATCCTGCATCCCTGTGCTTTTGTTCTGTTGGCTGTGGCCTGAGTGAGGGAAGGGACTGTGTGAAAACATGGCCACTGCCCCGGGATGTGTGGGGTGACTTCCCTCAGGAGGAACTGTGGTGGGGCAGGCGACATGGCCCAGGCAGCGTTGTGTTTCATTTCCTTTTCTTTCTTGTTTGTCTCCAGAAAGAGCTGATAGAAGAAGTCAGCCAGAATGGCAGCCGTGCTCAGATTCCCGTTCAAGTCTACAATGCCACGTGCACAGTGAAGGTCGCCGCTGTCACCAAAGGAGGGGTCGGACCGTTCAGTGTGCCACTGAAAATATTCGTCCCTGCACATGGTGAGAGCTGGGCTCCCCACTGGCTGCTGGGGCGGTCCATCCGGGCGGCACGCAGACGGCCCGAGAGTGGGTGGCTGGGTTAAGACTGAAACATAAAGACCAAAAGGAATTTTTGCCACAGTGAAGAGAGTTGGTGGGATAACACACCTCACCAGGAAGACCAGTGTGTGAGTCTTCCCACTAGCGTGAATGTGAACGGTTCTAACTTACTAGGAGGATTGGTCTGCTTACAGTACCTAGTTGGATTTGGGTTACTGAATACAGTTAAATGATGTATACTGACTTAGAAAGGCAGTATGGCTGATATTTCACCCTCTAGAATTGGTACCGTTTGTTTGCTTGCTAGTGTTTGCTTTGCTGTTTTAATTGGTGCTGCTTGTCAAATTATTGCCCATTCAGGCCTTGGCCAGCGTGCTTCATGACTGACCAGTCCAGAACATACAATGTTGGCTGCAGAAGCCGCCCTCAGATGGCTCTAGGCTCCCGAGCTAAGTGCCTAGCCCTGCGCGCTCGCTTCTCCATGTTGGAGTGTCCTTTGGCAAGGTGCCACTGTGGTGCCCAAGTGGCCCAAACACTGTGCTTACTTCCACAGAGGAGGGGGACCAGCTCTGTTCTGACTGCGTCCTGCCCTGGGTCCTTTGATGTTAAACTGCTATCAGCTCCATGCACAGTCATCTGTATCGGTGTGACCTGTGCTTTCCTGAGTCCTTGCAAACATGGCCTTTGTACTCGTAGCAGACAGGACTTGTGGGCAGACCAGGGAGTTCCCTGACAGCTTCTTCCAGTGACCCGCACACACGCTCTCCCTTTGGTGAAGGAGTGGAGCCATTGTACAGGTCCTGCGGCCCATAGGCTCTGTACCTGGGACCATTAGTAACTGGTGATGGGGACACAAGCTTATCTGCCTCATAGAAATTCAAAGACGAGATTCTGATCCTAAAGGCACAGTTTTAAAAATCAGACTCTTAAGATGACAGAGCTTTTGCCCTGGCTGGATGGCTAAATTGGTTGGAGTATCCTCCTATAACACCACAATGTTAGAGGTTCGATTCCTGGTCAGGACACATGCCTAGGTTGCAGATTTGATCCCCAATTGGGGAGCCTACAAAAGGCACCAATCTACCAATCTATGTTTCTCTGTTATATTGATGTTTCTCTCTCTCTCTCCCCTCTCCCCCTTCCTCTCTCTAAAAGCAATGAAAAAATGTCCTCAGATGAGGATTAGAACAAAAAAAATTTTTTAAAGGTGAGCTTTTATCTTCATAAATAGTAAACTGTCCTGAAGTATTAAAAAACTTTGCTATAATTGTAGTCTGTGCTTTGCATGATTCCAGTATGCATACATTTCAATTACCACTGTTGAGTTAACACCATTCCTTAACAATGTGGGTCAAAGGTGAGTTATTGTGTATTAACTGTGAGAACTGCAGAGAATATACACTTCACCACCAGCTCATCAGTACACAAATCTACGTAAATAACAGGCTCATCGTGACCACAACCAGTGTGCTAAGTCCGATGGTGGTTGGTCACTGCACTTCTTTCACTCATTTCACTCATATCTAAGGCATATCACCGTGCTCCTGTCTTGTCTACAAATGACAGGTCCATGTGACATCTTACAAAAATGGATAATTGAGAGAGGGAGAGGGAGTTAGCCAACAAAGATGAAAGTGTAGTAAAGAAAGGAAAAGTGAGTGTTTCAGTAAAATTTGAGTTGAATGTGAGTGGAATTATGGAGGAAATAGCTCACAGATTCTAGATACACAGCCAGGGATTCATAGAAGGTGAACATACCCACGTGAATGAAGTGGTTATGCCCCCAAGGATGGGGATGTTCCAGAGGAAGGCACGCCAGCAGAGATCTCCCCATGAAGGAGCTCTCAGAGATACTGTTGAGCATTGAAAGCACAAAGGATAAGGTGTTGGAAGAGGATCCAACCTGAGAATGAAGAATGACAATTCGCAGGCACAAAAAGTAGATTCTGTCCACAGCATAAGCTATATGACTGGAAGGAGGCAAGCTCTGTTCACACTACTTTTGATAAAGATTTACAAAGAAATAAACATTCTAGTTCTCAGTGTTTCTAGTGTTTTACTTAACAGTGGGCCAGTAAATATTAATTTGACCCTTTTTTCACTTCCTTATACCTTTGTAGCTGACACGGTTCCCATTGCTCCCTGAGTCCACCCTGCACAGCCTCAGCGTGCACTCTCACAGCCGTAGCCTGTGGCTGCGGACATGGACCACGGAGTCCAGAAGGACTGGTTCCAAACAGAGCTTAGGATTCTCTGCCCTTCCCTGGTACAAGCCAGTGTTGTGTGTGTATTTCAGATCCCAGAGAGATGTTCTGAATTGCGTCCGTTGGTCTTTTACCAGGTTGGGTAGAGTTTGCCCCCTCGTCAGCTCCAGTACCTGGCAACACCGACCCCGTGCTCATCGTCCTTGGCTGCTTCTGCGGATTTGTTCTGATTGGGCTGGTTTTGTATGTTTCTCTGGCCATCAGAAAACGAGTCCAGGAGACGTGGTTTGGGTAAGTGTCACAGTTAAAAACATTCTGTTCAGTGGTATTGATGAGGTTGTGACGCCAAGTGACAGTGCCTGTGCTGCCGGGCCAGCTGCTCGGTGTCGCAGCTGGGCTCCCTGAGCTGTGCTCCCCTGGGCGGGCTGCGTTCTCACGAGGCCAGCGCTGCAGGGCGCCGGCAGCAAGGGCCAGCCTGGGGGCCTGCCGGCAGAGGCGGCCGACAGCGGGCTTTCCCTGGCCCATCTCGGGTGCTGTTAAACAAGGACATTTTTTTTTGAGGTCTTTCAGTGATCCAGGTTCTTAACAAAAATCAAACAGACTATATATGTACAAATAAAAATACTAGAAGAAAATCCACCAAAGCATTAGCAATTCTGTAATTGTGGGTGATTCTGTGTTTTCTATGTTTTCCCTGTAGTTTACACATTTTCTGTGATGATCAGTTATTTTTCCAGTGGAGAAAAACTATATATTTTCGCAGTCTAATTTGTAAGAGGCTCTTTTTCTTATTTTCTGTACATAAGGCTTTTATAGCCAAACAATAGTTGAATATCAAGAAAAACAGGAAGCCTAGGAACACAAGCTGTGTGTATATGTGTTGTTTCTGGAACTCAGTGTTCCACTCCGGTGCCTGTGCAGAGAGTTTGGATTTCCATGAAATCTACTTTGTCCCTCTCGGGGCAGCGGAGGAGGTATTTTGTAGAAGAGGCAAGTCGTTGACAGCTCGGAGTGGGACAGGGTTAGGAGGGAGGGAGGGAGCTGTGCAGCCTCTCTCCCAGGATCGACAGCCTCAGCACAGGGCACTCCCTCCAAAACTCCCAGGGACGTGGAGGCTGGGTCGTCCTTTATGTGTGTCCAGCTCAGTCTTGGGGTCAGGTACCCACAGTACTTAACAACTCTCTTTGTGACATCTTAGTATATAAATTCTAAAAGCGACTCTTTTAAAGACATGGACAAAATCTCACCTAAATCCTGGGTTGACTGAAACATCCCCGAGTCTGTAGTTTGGAGGCTTATTGCAGAGACCCCCTGCAGAAGGGGTAGGAGTGGCTCGCCGAAGGCCTGCTAGGTGCTGGGCACTGATAGCTGGCCCTGCTCCTGCCCTCATGGGACACCCTGTTAATGGAGAGTCAGACAGTCATTACAGAACTTAATATCAGATGGCAACTGTGAAAAATTTTATATAAAAGGACCTTTATGAGCATATAGCAGCAGATTTGACTGTATGAAGAAAGGCAGGAAAGGCCTCCCTGCAGAGCTGATACCTGAGGTAAAAGCTGAAGAAAGAGCAGGTGTTGATTAGGGAGAGAGAAGGGAAGAGCGTTTCAGCCAGAAGAACAGCACTGGTAAAGGCCCTGCGGTGCTGGGAGCCACGCCCACAAAGGGACAACACCAGGCTACAGAATGTGATGCCTTGGGTCTGGTGTTCATTCTGTCCCTTAAACAAGTCTTTTAACGTATCCAGGCTTCCGTTGTATTCTCTCTAAATGGTCTCCAAGGTTATTAGCAATTTACTTGCTGTGATTCTGAATTAAAACTTTCAGACAGTCATTAATGGAGAAGTGTTGAGTCTGAGGTTGATGTCCTCAAAACGAGTGGCAGCATGCAGTTTGTGTCATTAAGTGGGCATACATCATTATCACCGAGGAAACAATGAGTGAAATAGATAAACTTACTTGGGCTCCTCAAATGTAGGCTCAGTAAAGACAGAGCCTTCAGGATAACAGCCAAAGCTGCCGTGGTGGTTGTGAGCATCCAGGGGCCTGGTGGGGACCCCTAGACATGCAGTTGAGGGAATCTGGAGCGGTGGGGGCAGAAGCAAAGGGTGCTGCTTTGCCTTCTGAGGCTTAGCCAAGCGTTTAGGAACTGCACGTAGCAATGCCGCCCTTCCCAGTCTGCAGAAACTCCATACCATTTTGCTTCTTCCGAAGTCTCCCTTAGGCATCCTCTTTTCTTATGTTTTTTAGGAGGAAATATTTTCAGACCATTACATGCTGTAAAAATATTTTGATTCTAGTTTGAAAATACATGGGAGACAAAATGCTGGAATGAGATTTCACCCACAACAGCATGAAAACTATCACATTCTTAAGACTAAGCTCAATAGATGTGCAAGAACTTTGTGAAAAAATATTAGTACACTTTACCAATAATGCAGAAGACAAAAATAAATAGAGAAATGTGTAGCATGCTTGTGTTTGGGAAAGATCAGTTTTGTTCAAGAGATGGCTTTTTTCCCCCAAGTTAACCGTAAATTCAATATAATTACCATCTAAATGGCTGCAGGTTGTTGATAACACTTCTCAAGCTGATGTAAAAATGTAGGTCAAAGAGCACATGAGCAGGAGGGCCACGGCAGTGGGGTCAGCACCTGCTATTGTTAGGACTCAAGATGCCTGTTTTTGGTCACGCAGGAACGCCTTCACGGGGGAGGATTTGGAACTGGTCGTCAATTACACAGCAAAGAAGTCCTTCTGTCGGCGAGCCATACAACTCACCTGTAAGTTGACTTGCATTTCCTTTTATTGGCAAAAGTTAAAATAATGGAGAGTGAAAGAACAACAAATTCGTTGACAGATTTCTCACAAAAGCCAAAGGAGTCAAAGAAAGGATATTTTTAATGTACAAGATGTCTTCAGCAAGCAGCAAGGAGATAGTCAGACCTGGCCCTGTGTTTCACTGCCGACCGATTTACTGGAAATATGGGGCGAAGGCCTCCACAAGCCATGAACCATGGAGGGAAAAGAACTCCGGGGCGATAGGAGATGTGAATAAAGGTCAGGGGTTTAAAGGAAACAAAACATCTGACAATGTCAGAGCTTGTTGTTTCCTGTTTTTTGCTTGCATTCATCTCAGAGAACGATTTGCTAACAAATGTTGTGTGGTTTGAGCTTTCACTGAACGAGAGCATGCCCTCTCATAGTTGAACAGTGGGAATAAACAGATAGTTGTATGTTCTTGGATAATTTCAGAGACTGTATGGAAAGTATGTGCAAAGATTTTCAAGTTTAAACTTCTGCGTGTTTGCCAAAACAACCACCATAACAAGCCAAATACAAGAATGATGAAATACAGGTTGCTATGAAATAAACACTCATGTGATATAAAAATGTTATAATTTCCTTACTTTTCTAATCTAGAAGTTCTGGCTTTTAGATGTTCTTGTATTTTAAAAAATTCTTAATTTAGACCAGTTTGTCTCCTTTATTGGAGGGCCATTTGGGTAACATGTTTTCACTAACAGCTAAAGTGTCCAGATTGTCCACGGTTTAATTTTCATCCAGATCCTCGCTCATTGCCTGGCTGGGGCACCAACTGAGTCATTTGCCAGGTAGTCATTGAATTAATTGGTCTCCCTCTCCGGGGTAACTGCTGTTACTGACAGCACTTGCTGTGAGAGCTGCGTTTCTGCACCTTGTCACACAGGGTCTTGTTCTCCAGTCCTCTCACCAGCCACTCAGTGTAGCACCTCCCACGTCGGCGTGAGGAGGCTCCACGGACCGAGCGCGAGCAGTAGCTTGTGCTCCGCGTCTCCTGTGGCTTCTGTGCCTCCTTCCCTGGCAGGGAGGATGGCGGGTGCCCGGCGGGTCCTTCATATCCTGTTCTTGGGGATAGAACAGTAACTTCTGCATTAGAAAAATTCTCTGTCTCCCTCCTGGTCAGGGGAGAACCTACCCACCAGGAATGGGATTTCCAGCTGCTGATAATGAACATTGGAAGGAGAAATATGGTTGTGATTTTTATAATCCCTCAGAATTAATCTTGCCCCAAAGGATTCATTTTACTCACTTTAATCAGAGTAGAATTAAATGTGATATTTTATTACTGTCATGGGGGGTTGCTATGGGATATATAAAATGGGCAAAACATTTACTGTTTTATGGAACTTTATATGTAATTTGGATTATAGTCAAATGAAAGGAAACACTGACAACTCATGTCGCCTGTCACTTTTTTTATAGTACGCAGCTTAGGAGTCAGCGAGGAGCTGCAAAATAAGCTAGAAGATGTTGTGATTGACAGGAACCTTCTAACTCTTGGAAAAATTCTGGGTGAAGGTAAGTTTAATTCTTTTAACACGTTGGGTAAGAAAGCAGTTCACGGTAATTTTTTAAAATACAGGGTCTAGCACAAATAATACCCCTTTTTTATGAGCTGGTAATCTGTACCAAAACTTTAATTACAAAATCATAAGCATGTAATTCTGTAACATAACAATATCACTCTCAAGCACAGCATATGACATTTTGGGGGAAATGTTTGAATTGCTGTCCGTTTCATGCAAGACATGGACACATACCCTACCAACCACACTCAATGACAGTACTTCTGCTGGACTCTGTATGTTTTATTAAATAAAATATTATTTTGTGAGTTTGATAATACAGGTAGTCTATTTTCATTTATAAATAGTGATTTTGAAACTAAGATTTGGCATAGGAGTGGGGCTCTGCGGTGCCTGGCACACGGAGCAGGCCCTGAAAATGTGAATTCCCTGCCTCTACTGAAAAGCTTGGAATTCACTGGGTGGTTTGCTCTATCATTTAAATTTATTCTTCCATTTCTCAAGTTTATAATTCTGGCACCTTCCTAGTTCAGTATGAAAACATACTTAATTTGCCAGCCGTAATATTCGGATGAATGACGATGGTGTTCAGAGTTTCTGTTTTATGAATTTCAAAAACATTGTCCATATTGTTCTGTAATAAAATGAACTGAGCTAAGTCCGAGCCAACCAAGGTGGTGACAAGCAGGATGTCACTGCCTGGCCTGTGCCCTGGTTTGCAAATGTGGGTGGCCTGGCAGCTCTTCCCCGCTACCACTTGTGGGTCACTCTTGGACCACATGAAAACAGTGGCTCTGGCACTGTGATGTTCTGTGGTCAGGAGAGATTTTGCACAAGGTCCACATAGGTGGTGATTGACTTCACAGGAGAGTTTGGGTCCGTGATGGAAGGAAGCCTTAGTCAACAAGATGGGACCTCTCAGAAGGTGGCCGTGAAGACCATGAAATGTGAGTTATCACCCACCAAACCCATTCTTCTAGGTGTGGACAGCTGCTTCACTGTCTGGGGCTCCATAAAGTGAGGGTGGAGTTCACAGGGCGTGAACTAGGTCACAGGTGGGTCAGAGGGCCACCCAGAGCGCTACCTCGTTACAGAGGGGCAGTTACTCTAACGAGCTCCTCATACCTGCACTGTAAAGTCTTCACCTTCAGGACAATAATATGTCATTCATTTCCTCTCTCTCATTAATGACTCCAAGTAAGGCATGAATTTCTGGGCAGGGCTGATCCGGTGGCAGCATGGGACCCCGTGATTGTCTCAGTTTGATTCGTTGTGTGTTCAGCTGGGCTGGCATAAAACAGACCTCAATTGTGTGGCATGTCACCTGAACCCCGCATGGAGCCACACTCAGCACTGGTCAGAGAGGCTCCTTCCTTCGTCCCCATTTACCAAGTTGAAGATTTAGGGGACCTGGTCAGAGGAGCTGGACCTGGAACCTGTTTTTTTCTCTGGCCTTGGCTCTGCTATTCTTCAACTTAATTAGAATAACTTGCATACAAATTGGATCCATGGTACTTATCAAAGATTGAAAGACTAGTCTCTGGCCTCCAGCTGTGGGCTTCTCTGCATTTGCCTGGATGTTGGTCACTTGGGGAGGGGTTTGCAGGCAGACCCCCACCCCTTTTGTTTCACCCATTTTATTTGCAGCAAAAGCTAAAGGTGAGGACTAAGTGGCAGGCATTTTGCAGGTCTATAGAATTATTTTTTATATTTTTCAAAATTTATTTTCATAGGAAGACTAATATATATAAAACCCATAGGATGTACAGACACTTGTAGATGCTCTCAAGTGATTTTAGTTAATCCTTGTACCCTGTTATAGCAGACTCCCTAAGATACACCTGGCTTTATGTGTTTTCATTTAGTTTTCCTTGTAAAGTAACACATACCATCGAATAACTGCTTCTAATTTCAGTTGCATTACGTACATTCACACTGTTGTGCAACCACCAACACCGTCATCTCCTGAACTTTTTCATCTTGCAAAACTTAAACTTGGCTCCTTAAACAACTCTTAACCCCCAGTCCCCGCAGCATGCCCCTCTCTGCTTCTGTCTATGAATTTGACTTGTCTGCCTACCTCATTCAAGTGGGATCGCACAGTATGTGTCCTCTTGTTATTGGTTTAAGTCACTTAGCATCGACTTTTAAATGTCTCTCTTAAATTGGATTAACTCCAGAAAATTAGTATGAAAGTATATCTAGTTCACAGGGCAGGACTGAGTGACCAGACTTGGATGGCACTGAGAGAGAGGGGGACATGTTCCTTCTTTTTTTAAGGCCAAACTGATTGCAGCAGATCAATTGGATTTGCTTAAGATTTTTAAAACTAATACACTTTAGTTTTTAGAGAAGTTTTAGATTTTAGAAAAACTGGGCAACAAGTACAGAGTTCCCATGTATCCGCCCCATATACAGCTCTCCTATCATTAACATCTTGCACGAGCATGGTGCACTTTTTACAGTTGATGAACCTATATTCATACATTTTTGACTGAAGTCCATAAGTTACATTAGGGTTCACCCTCTGGTGTATACCCTGTGGGTGTGGCACGTACGTAATACCATGTGTCCACTGTCGCAGATGTTTCACCCCTCTCTATCCCCACACCCAGCCTGTGACAACCACACTCAGCTGTTTACTGTTGCTACAGTTTTGTCTTTTCCTGATTTTACTTTTAGAGAACAAAATTGCTGTTGCCCCTCCCCTTCATGGAGCACGTTATCCATGCCTGAGATTTCCCCTCTCTTCTTTCAGTGGACAGCTTTTCTCAGCGAGAGATTGAGGAGTTCCTCAGTGAGGCCGCATGCATGAAAGACTTCAGCCACCCGAACGTCATCCGGCTCCTAGGTACCTCGAGAGACGCAGGGCTGGGGCCAGGGCTCCCCACATCCGGGCCGTGCCCAAGGGAAACGCGGTATAACCCGACATAGTTCATAACACGGGGTTTTTCACCCCAAAGGCTTCTCCTTACAGTCACACTTTTGGAGGCTGATGGTAAAAATGGAACATGATTTAATGTCAGAACTGGGCTTTTAGTACCACTTGCTAAAAAACACAAAGGGGGAGGTCAGGTTCCAGTGGTTGCTGTGTGAGTGACACGCTATTCCGAGAGGGAGAGCAGCCTCAAAATAATTGGGTATTCTGACGACTTAGTTTTGCTCTCCTGCGATTTAATAAATGCTAAATTCTTTGGGGAACTTTCAAAGTGTCTTTGACACTTAAGGGAGATGTGAATACTAATGTTTGGATACAGTATTATGTCAAAGAAACCACTGTTACTCATTTGCAGCTATTGACTTCAGCAGACCGAGAACAATCGTGCTTTGTAATCGCACCAAAATGTGCAAGAGCTTTGCAAGCCTGGTATCAGGTGACAGGCAGGCTCTAGTTCTAGAATTCTGTGATAAATGGGGTTGCAGCTTTTCCTTTGTATAACCAATAAAATTTAAGAAGGTGGATTTTATCTAGTGGCCCTCAAAATACTTTTCATAGTTTTAAGCATTTGGTTTCAGTGCGCGTCTTCATACGATTAAATATTTAACTAACACGTGGAACTAGTTTGCTCTTGAATTTTAATGTAGTCACTGCCCCTCACTTGGACTCAGTACAACAAAAACCACAGGTCTCTAGGCAGCTATACTTGTTACACATTAATTTTTGAGAATTCTCATGCAAAGATTGACACTAATCAAAAAGGGAAAAAAAAATACCAAGATGAAGACCCAGTGTGTGTTCCATATTCTAGAACACTGTGTATGAGTTATAAGCAATTTGTTTTTTTAACTGTTCACTTGGCAGCACATGGTTTGAATTTGGCCCATGCCGCTGCTGTGTTTTTTCTGAACACTGGTAACAAGGGCTCTTTGTAACTAACTCTGCTCTTAATTCCAGGTGTTTGTATAGAAATGGGCTCTCAGGGCACCCCGAAGCCCATGGTGATTTTACCCTTTATGAAATATGGGGACCTACATACCTACTTACTCTACTCCCGACTGGACACAGGATCCAAGGTAATTAATTACCAGTTGCATTGCCTCTGGACACTTCTCAGCGCTTACGTGACAAGGCCTAAACAACCTCAGTGTCCAACCTTGAAAATAAAGGAGGGAAGGCAAAGACTTTAGCCTTTGTTTGGTGCCCACTCTTGTGGAGGTTGAAATGGGGCATCCACCTCAGCAGGCCTGCGCCCAGGTCCTGCTGTTCCTGTTTACGGGGAGGAAGCCACTGGGAGCACAGTCTGTCAGAGTGCTGCTCTCGGAGTGGCCTGTTTTTTTTTTGAAGTCACCTCATTTTCACTGTTCACTCTGAAATCCCTGGGTGCAGGACCTGACTCAGGACCCTCAGAGGGAAGGTGCCCTGAACTGTCTGTCAGGGGCGCTGAGGGAGAACTTATCTCCACCCATCTTTCTCTTTATCACAAGCCCCTCCATCCTCTAAATCAGTGTGCTGGTTGCTGTAGCTTTATTGTAATTCTTAAAATCGCATAGTGTGTTTCCTCCAGGTTCATTCTACTTTCCAGAATTGTTTTTAGCTTTTCTAGTCTTGTTGCCTTTCCATATAATTGTGGAGTCATTTTGTCTATGCCAGCCAAAGGTACTGTTGCATCATCTTATATTCTTTTGAACAAAATAACAAGAGAAACAATATACAGCATTTTACTGACTAATGAATAGTTTCTATTTGCAAAAATGCAAGTGTATCTCCAGTGTTGGAAACTAACTCCCATGTTTTATTAATATGGAAAAAGAATATATTTCCATATTTTAATACTTTTGTAGCCACAAATAAAGCGGGAAGTCACAAAATGCAGAGAAACTGGAAAATCAAGCTTTTATTTAGACCTTTTCTTTGCTATCAGTTCTATCCATTTGGGGGGAATAAATACTTTTTGTTCCTGTTAGTGTGGCCCAGGACTGGGTCTCAGTTACAGAACGTGTCCCTCCGACGGGGCCTCAGTGCCACTCTGTCCTCGTCTTCCAACCCATGAGCACAGGCTGTCATTTCGTTCATTTAGAGCTGTTTTAGTTTCTTTCGTTTTGTAGTTGTCAAAGTATAAGTTTTGCACTTCTTTTGTTAAATTTATTCCTAAATATTTTATTTTACATGCTTATGTAGGTAAAATTATTTTCTTGATTTCATTTTCAGATTGTTCATTGCTAGTGTCTAGAAATACAGTTCATTTTTATATATCAATCTAGTGTCCTGCGACCTTGTTCAACTCATTTATTAGTTAGTTCTACCACACAATTATCTTTTAAATGACGCAGTCAGAATTTGCAAGAATAAAATCATTGTTCAAGGAAAAACTAACACAAATGCGTAGTACCTGATACTCGCATGAAGGTATACTTCATGAATGTGAGCAGATTTGATATTTCTTGGTACCCAAATCTTTCTCTGGAAATTAGCATCTGGAAAATGAAAGCCCCAGATATAGAGAACACAGGCATAAGACCCCTTCCTGATCTGTGTACTTTTTTTTTTTTTTAACAACTTCATTATGTGAAGTGAAGGTAAAGGGATAAGTAAAGCATTTTGTTGTATAGACCATGTGTGATTAACACAGGTCTTAGCTGGGAAACATGAGTCATTACAAATTTGGTGGCTTTGTTACTACCACTTTGGAAAACTCATGCCACGCAGAATAAAACGTGACAAATCCGGTGTGCTGGGGAAAGGATGCCGTGGATGGACACGTTCGTGCTGGCCAGGGACTTGTAAGCCCTCCTCTCTCAGGCTCTGACTGTGGTCACATGTGCATCACTGCAGAGAGGGCTCCTTTTTAAGATTTTATTTGTTTATTTTTAGAGAGAGGGGAAGCAAGGGAGACAGAAAGACAGGGAGAGAAACGCTGATGTGCGAGAGAAACATTGATCAGCTGCCTCTCATTCGCGCTCCTACCAGGGACCAAATCCACGACCCAGGCATGTGCCCTGACCAGGAATTGAACCAGGGACCTTAAGATTTGCAGGAGGATGCCCGGGCCACTTAGCCACACCAGTCAGGGCAAGAGAGGGCTTCTTCTGTCATGATCCCCAGAATCAGTTCCAGCCTGGGAGGTTTCTAACACAGCGGCCCAGTGGACTTTTGCCACAAGGAGAAAATACTGGACTGCTGCAACTTACAGCAGTGCCCCAGAGAACCAAAAATGAAAGTCCCTGTGATAAGGAAGCAAAGACCATCCTAATTTCCCTGTAACAGCAAAGTATCTTTGAAAACATTTCCAAGTAAAGTGATAGCAGATGTGGGTGCACAATTGGAAACAGCTCATTTAAAGTCAAACTATTAAAACCCTCCCCTACACACAAATTCACCCTCCATCAAAACAGACCAGCCTTGTGTCCCCTTTCTGTGTGGCATGGGTGGTTGGTCCACGGCCACTCAGGACACAGAGGATCCCATCTGATCTCATCATTTGGGAATGAATGTTATTCACTGTTGGTACTTTTAAATATGAGGAGGAAAAAATGTGATGTTTGCCAGACAGTTTTAGGGTTTGTGTTTTTTTTTGTTCTTTGTTTTTCCATTCCTTTTTTTAAAACCTTATTTGTGCTGTTAGTGATAAGGAAATGGAAGGTTTGTTTCTGTGTTTCACAGCCACACGTTTAAGAGGTAAAAACATTGTTTTCCCCCAGACAGAGATAACTTGCAAGTTTTTCTATTAAAAAGTAACCTTTCTTCTTGCTTCCTCCCCCAGCCCATCCCTCTGCAGACCCTGCTGAAGTTCATGGTAGACATTTCCCAGGGGATGGAGTATCTGAGCAACAGGAATTTCCTTCATCGAGACTTAGCTGCTCGAAACTGCATGTAAGAGTCCCGCGGCATCCCAGGGGGGGCTAGACCTCGCCATGCTGCAGTTTGTGGTGGGGACGCAGGGGGCGGCCTGTCGCTGTTGCAGTGAGTAATGAAAATCCTGAAGGTCTGTCCCTAAGTTCTCATGATGCTGCCTTTTGGGGACACTCTGTTCTGGGGACACACTGACCAGAGCCGCAAGGACATGCACAAGAACTTTGAGCTTAAGTTCTCCCCTCCCACTTCACCCTGCCCCAGCAGAGCCACTGACCGCTGCAAATCTTCAAAACAGTGACTATGTCTTGATTTTAAGTCTGCTGCTCTAAGAAGAGGGACTATTCCTTAACTGTGTCGCTTCATGTTTTCTTCTTGGTTGGAGATGGGGCGGTGGGGCCTGCCCTCCTCCTAACCAGCCCCTGCCACTTTCACCTCTTTTTTGAAAGCCCAGAAGGGTCTTGTTTTTGTTTTTTATTTAAATAGTTTTTCTATATCAGAGGGAGACCTGTGAAAATCTTTTATTCCCCTTAATATTTCCTCCATGTTTATCCCTCCAAATAGGGTGACCAGCTGTCAGGTTGCCCAGAACTGAGGGGTCTCCCAGGACATGGGACATCCAGTTTTAAAAGTCAGTGTCGGGAAAACAGGGACAGTCATCACCCTACTTCCAGATGACTCATTCCTTCTCTTTTCCTTCTTGTCTAGGATGCGTTTTAACAGGTTGGGCTATACATGTGATTGTATCTCTTTAATTTTCCAAGTAACTCCTCAAGTACCACCTGCCATGTTTGCAGGGGGCCCAGGGTCCCCCTCTTATGGGATGTACTTGCCCACTTTCCCCAAGCTGCCAGGAGGCTCTACAGAGCCTGTGCCGCTTCCAGACTCCAGGCCAGAAGGCTGCTGGGGCACCCAAGTCACCGAAGGCCTTGGGTTTGAGCGGGGCTCCTTCTGCTCCTCCTGTGCAGCTCCCCTCCTCCCACCAGGTGTCTCCATCCTTGTGCACAGGTGGCCTTGCTCGTCCAGATCCCCACACAGACCGGAAGGTGCAGGGTTACCTCTCTTCTATTCCCCCTTGCTTGCTCTGCCCTTGGTCCCCAAGCAGGACCCTCATGGTCACCCTACCTAGGGGAGGGGGATACATGAAGGAAATATTTAGGGGAATAAAGGATTTTCACAGGTCTTTCACAGGCTGGTGTGGTCTGTTTCTTTGGCTACTTATTGTGCCTGTTTTCAACTGCATGTGAAGCACAGCTGTGCTCTAAAAAGGCTTTGCCTGTGATGTTTCTGAGGACTCGAACTCCTTCTCTGTAGGTTGCGAGATGACATGACTGTGTGTGTCGCAGACTTTGGCCTCTCTAAGAAGATTTATAGCGGCGATTACTACCGCCAAGGCCGCATCGCTAAGATGCCTGTAAAGTGGATTGCCATAGAGAGCCTTGCGGACCGAGTCTACACCAGTAAAAGTGACGTGGTAGGTAAAGAATTTTGATTAAGGACCTTGAGTTTCAGAGGTGAACCACGGTGAATGAAGTGACTTAGCTGGTGTTGCTAAACATTTTACTCGGATAAACTGAGGGCTGGGAACATGCTCACATCTCTCATATTTATTGCTAGATACTCATTCACGAAGAATCCTAGATTCCGGTGACATCTCCTGACATTCAAAAGATCTGTTTTTACACAGGCCCTTAATTTATTCCCATTTTCATTTGCTGCTATATTGACTTATCACTTACAACTAAGGTATTCATATTAAATTCAGTAGGTTCATCCACTGGCTCTAGGGGACCGAGATGCTGTATAAAAGGTGCTGTGTGGTTACACCCTCACCCAGATATTAGGAAAGAAAGCGCTCAGTGACAATGGTGGGACTGAGCATTGATGTGGCAGGAGACTCTGCTTTGTCAGAGTTCCCAGAATAGCATTAGTAGAAAATGGGGACTACGATGCTCCAACCCCACGTTACTACCATGTTCGGAGAGTGGCGTCTCAGACATAATTGTCAGCTTTGTGCACGGTCATCGGGGCTTTAGGAAATGACCTTTCCAAATGAAAAAGTCCATTCAGCCTTTCTGAAAAGACTCAAATCTGAACTTCTTGTTACTTTGTTCTCAGTGGGCATTTGGCGTGACCATGTGGGAAATTGCAACGCGGGGGATGACGCCCTACCCCGGAGTCCAGAACCATGAGATATACGAGTATCTCCTCCATGGCCACAGGCTGAAGCAGCCGGAGGACTGCCTGGACGAACTGTGAGTGGGCTGCTCCGTGTCACCAGGCACCCTGCATGGGCCAGCCGTGGGTCTTTGAAGACCCGGGGGGACAGAGCCTAAGGAGGAGGGGCCACTCTTAGCCAGGCCGTGTGTGCAGAGGTGGCACATCCAGGCCAAAGCCTTGACCGGTGTGAGAGATGGTGTGTACACGTGTGCAGTGAAGCGGCACGTTCTGCAGGTCTGCAGGCACCTCTGGGGATGTATCCTGGATAAATGGTTTGACCTCATAGCACGTGCCGCACCTGAATGATCGCTTGCCCTCTTGTGCTGCCATCCTTCTCTTCCCGAGCGTACAGCACTTTGAACAAACAAATTGCAATAATATCCTTAATCAGGAAATTCGGAAACCTAAACCCATGGCTCCGAGGTCAGGCTGGTCAACAGAATTGCGCGACGGATATTCTAAACATGTGATTTCTTAGCTCCACACCTGGGCACTGGGAGTCTGTTGGAACAAAGTGGGCCCAGAAGCGCATGTCTTAAAACACTCTCTGGGAGACCAGGTTCTCAGCCCCGAGTGAGAGCCCCAGCTCCGGGCGTGCAGGGCCTCAGTGCGCAGCCCATTCCCAACAGGCCCCTCCTCTCCAGGGTGGGCAGTGTAGGGGGAGGCCCAGGCCTGCGAGTCACAGGGGCCAGGTGCCGCCTCCAGCTGCCGACGGGGGAGGCCGCCGAAGCTGACTTGACCTCGGTGTGCCTCATTGTTAGCCGCAGGTGCAGTTTGGCCGCATATTCTTCAGAGGTATTGGGAGGGTTAAAGAAGTGTGTGGCATGCTCATCTTGCAGGAGGCACAGAGCAGGTGTCACATCATGATGTCGATTAGTAATTTAACATGATTACAGACCCATCTGACCAAACCCCTTGCTGACCTCCTTAGAATAATTTCTTGTCGTGTTGCCTCTAGCGTATGATGTGAAATTTCCTAGTGTCAAGTCTCTTCCCCATAACAGGGATTACAGCCACTTTCTCCATATTCAGGAAGATTTCAGGACCTTGGGCCTGCGTGGGCTCAGGCTTGGAAGGGCTGGGCGGGCCTGTGCGGGCCTGTGTGGGACTGGCCTGTTCTGTCACATGGCACCCCCGCTCTGGCCCCACTTCCTCGTGGGGAAGGGCTAGGTTAGGTGGCATGTGGGCCTCCCAGATCTTATCCAAGCCAAACAGAAAGAAACTTTTTTTAAACAGGAAAAAGTCAGTCTTTAGTACATGCACGTGGAGAATTCATATAAGCACGAAAATTCCCAGAAGGAAACTTTGTTGTTCAGCTTGCTTGGTGGTGGTGGCTCTTGTTATTGCGGTTGCGAACTATAACATTAACAACAGGAAGAAAAAATGTTAAGCCCTTTAAAAACATTCTGAAATTCTAATTAAGCTAGATCTGGGGTTTTAGGATAGTTTTTGAAAGGGCCACGTGAATGAGATGTTTGCTTCTGAAAAGGAGGAAGCCGTTTTACCCAAACAATGTTGAATGAAGTTTTGTGGCTATTTCTTTCTTGGCTTCTGTTTTGCGCCACAAGCAGTATTTGCAGTGATTATCTGAGGTCTTAACAAGGACTGAGCTATGTCACACTGTGGTTTTTCGATGCCTCACACAGAGGCAGACGAACGCGGACTCGGCTTTCCAGGGGAATGCTTAGGTGAGGGTTGCAGAGGCAGCACACGCTGCGTGGCCAGGTGGTCAGGAGGATCAGGTGGCCCTGTGGTCCCCAGCCACCCCCTTCCCGCTGGCTCTGTACTTCAGGCTTGAACCAGGCCTCCTTCTTGGGCCCCTGTCCAGTCTGCATGCTGGTCAACAAAGAGGCCTCTGTTCCCATATCTGGGGCATTTTCTTTTAAAAATGAGGCACATTTCTGAGCTTTTCACCTTCATTTGGTGTCTAACCTCAGCTGAGATGAGTTCACGCCTGTGTTACTTGCCCCTCGGTCTTTTTGAAGGCAGCTCTAAGAAATGTAACGATATAAGGAATGGAGCTCACTTCATGCCCTGCTCTTCTGTCCTGCCCTCTGAGGCTGCCCCTTCTCAGGGTGTCACTCACCTCCAACTGACCAAGTGGCAGGCCTTTCCCCTGTCCCAAAAGGCCACTCTGCATGATGTTCTTGTCATCCCTGTAGGACATTTCCTCAGCTGAGCCTAAGGCCTCCTGGCCGTAGACCTCAGACACTCCCCACCTGCTGACCCCTGTGGCTCATGCATTGGCGCTCATTGCCCTCGTCCTCCAGTGACACTCAGGAGCCACCTTGTTTTTTCTTTATCCCACTGGGTCCCATCAACCAGCACATGTCCTTCACAGTCCCCCTGCCCTCCAGTCCTACCAGTAATACCATCAGATCAGAGAAGCCCAGGCGTCATCTGCTTCCACTCCCTCGTCATACGTGAGGAAATGGTGGCTCGCTGACATCATGCAGCTTACACCTGCCTTCCCCCTCTCGGAAACCCTCCTCTACCTACTGATCAGCCCCTCTGCTTCTGCCTGTGGCATCTCAGGCCCCAGGAAGGAGAGCAGTGGGGGCTTTCCTTTGGCCAAGTGTCAGAGCTCAGACCCAGCGTAGCTCTGTAGAGACACATGCTGCTAACGTGACACCTGTCTCTCAGGCGTCACTTCTCTGAGCAGATGTGAAGCACTCGGCCATGCTCAGAGCCAGGGGAAAAGCAGGTGCCTGACAAATATGGATAAATTCATAAATCTATACATTTTATAAATTTGTATGATTGCATGTTTTTAACTCCTTTTTTTAAAGAAACTGCCATTTACCATCTCAACCACTTTTAAGTGCATAGTTCAATAGCGTAAGTACATTCATCTTGTTGTGCAGCCATCACCACCATCAACTCCAGAACTCTTTTCATCTTACAAAACTGAAACTCTGTCCCCCATGACACAGTAACCCCCATCCCCCGCTCCCCCAGCAACCTGTGATTATAGCTTCTATAAAAATCTCAGTAAAAAAACAAAAATGACCATTTACAGAGGCATCTGCCAAATTTGGTGGTTTTTCTTATCTGAAATTGAAATCACAGGCCGCCGCTCACTGAACAGGGACAGGCGCTCTTGCTGCCCTCCTCGGTCCAGCGCCGTGGGAGCGGCTTAGACAGGATACGTGCTACCATGTCTTTATGAGTCATATTTATATTGTTACATAGTTCATAAAGTATTGAAGGTAAAAGAAAAATAACTTTGAAAGTGATATTGCTACCATGTTATATAAAGAAGAATCTAGATTATGTCAGCGATTTTCATCCTTTGTCATTTCATGGCACACATAAACTAATTACTAAAATTTGGTGGCACTCTAAAGATATATATTTTGCCAATCTGACCAAAAAAAAAAAAAGTGTAATTTTGATTCATTCACACCAGACTGCTACTGTTGTGTTGGCTGTTGTCACTTTTTTATTTGACAATCTAAGGAAAGAGGTCAGTGCCCCTGACTAAATAGTCAGGTATTGCGTGTTTTAAAAATTCTTTTAAATTTTTAAATCGCTAGATTTAAAATAGTTGAAAATCGCTAGAATGTAAACACTTTCTCCTAAGCATGGAATTTACCTTAAATGAAGGTAAATTGAGTAACAGCGCTTTCATGGCCTAATGAAAAGGAAGTGTCTCTAAAAACAGAATTCCTCCAAGCTCATCTCAAGCTGCAAACAGTTGAGGGTCTGTGGAAAATAAGGAAATCGTGCAAATCAGTTTATACCATAAAAACCTAAAAAATGGAAACAAAAGCTGTTTGCCACATCTCAGTGTCTGTCTCATGAAGGTAAAATGGAGAGTCAAACAGCTGAGCCACTGTCCAGGGGAGAATCAGGCTTGTCAAGGAAATAGGCCTGCTATTCGAGCTCAGTGTCCTGTGTTCGCAGGCAGAGTGCTTGCAGACACCACCTTCCAGAAGCTCATGCTTTGTTGACAGAAGCTGAGAAGTAAACAAATGCAGATACTGATTGTCATACATCTATGTGAATGAGATCTATGTGTGTGCGTGTGAATGTTAGTAGAATTAGCCGAAGTTCATGATGTGATAATGTGTGAATATAGGAATTGCATATTTATGTTCACAAGATAGCAGTAGTCTACTACACGTGTCAGATGATTAACATTTGGGTCATTTCCTTACCCAGCAACATGAATATCAGTTTTCTCAAATCAGGAAAGAATCCAAGTGAAATGATGGTAAAACTTAGTCTTCCTAATTCCATCATCTCCCTGTTTTGCTGGCTCACGTTAGTGTCCCTTCGTTGTAATCCTTAGTTTCGCAGAGAATGAGGACACCACACCGAAGGGAAGCTTTGAGGCCAGCTCCCCCAGTGCCCCGTGCTGCCCGCGCAGCCATGGCATGTTCTGTAACATCCCTGAGCCCATTCTCCTCTTTACCGCATAGTAACAAGAACAGGGCTGTTGAAAAGATTAAGTGTAGAAACAGCCGCAAAACGACTGGTCAGCGAGGCACACACTCCTTCGCCCACCCCCAGGCCCTTCTAGCTCAGCTCCCCTGATGGCAGACCCAGTTTGATGGTGTAGAACAGGGGGGCAGCACACTTTTTCTCTAAAGGGCCAAATAGTAAATAATTTTTATTTTGGCCCTTTATGGTCTCTGTTGCAACTACTTAACTCTGCAGTGGAAGCAGCCACACATAAATAAATAAATGTAGCTATATTCCATTAAAACTTTATTTACAAAAGAGATGGTGGGCCAGATTTGGTCCACAGGCCGTAGTATGTCCTGCATTCCTGGAGACAGAGGAGCACTATCACATACCCATGGAACATTAATTCAGGTTGACCAAATAGTATGCCACAAGGAAAACTTCAGTAATTTCCAAAAAGTAAAATTAGTGTGGATTAAAATGGGATAAGACCCAAGATGAGGTGGAAACAGGGTGGGTGGCGTTCAGGGCTCAGTGCTGCGTGGGAGGTAACTCATGTTCTCTACTTGTAGGTATGAAATAATGCACTCTTGCTGGAGGGCGGAGCCCTTGGACCGGCCCACCTTTTCCATGTTGAGGCTGCAGCTAGAAAAGCTCTTGGAAAGTTTGCCCGAAGCACAGGACAAAGCCGACGCCATTTACATCAACACCCAGTTTCCAGAGAGTGGCGAGGGCCCGGCGGAGGGCCCCCCGCTCACACAGTTGGACATGGACATCGACCCGGACTCCATCATTGCGGCCTGCACGGCCAGCACAGCTGTCAGCGTGGTCACAGCCCAAGTTCATGAGAGCAGACCTCACGAGGGAAGGTACATTCTAAATGCAGGCAGTGAGAACTGGGAGGACCTGACTGCTGCTGCCTCGGCCACAGGGACAGCTGGGAAGAGTGGCATTTTCCTGGAGGACAGGGCTGTAAGGAATGGGGTCGCCTGGTCCCAGTGCAACACGCTGCCCTTGGGGAGCCCACCACAAGATGAACTTCTGTTTGCAGACGACTCCTTAGAAGACTCAGAAGCCCTTGTGTGATGAGGTCTGAGAGACGATCCCAAACCAGGGAGATTCCTCTGCCTTTGAGATCCACATCCGCCCAAAGTTTCTGGTGTCTGTCTTCCATACCAAGTAAATGCCACATGTGAAAGCACCAGGTGAATGTCGCTAAGTACGTCCTCATTAAAAATAAACTATTTATTTAAAGAGAAAAATATATATGTATATGGTGGAGATATAGATACTATATTTTAATAAGAGATTACTTATTTTATGTCACTTAATCTTGCTGATTTTAAAACTTAAGCTTTAACAGCTTCACCTGTAGAGCTGCTCCTTGATGTTAACATTTGCACAAAATTGTTTTTTTAAAGTTCTTTTCTTTTTCCTGACTATTAAATGTAAAAATATTTGTAAAATGAAATGCCACATTGGACTTCGCTTCTGGTCTTAAGGAAAATCTGATATTCTTCTGTGAATCATCTGTTTGATAAGAACGATTTTTTTGATATTTAAAGTTTTATAACTGATTAATTCTTTGACAGAACTTTCTAATAAAATATGAATGAGGAAGGACATGTTGTGCTTGGCTGACTTGGAAAGACAGGTTGCTGGCAGCCTCGTGCCTTTGCAAAGGAATTCATTCCCTTGGTGCATGACCTTTGAGGCACTTGCTCTGGCCATTCTTGGATGTTTTTAAAGAGTAGAAAAAACATTCTGGAGAGACCAAAGGTGAAGAACAGGAAATATTAAAGGGTTGAAAAGTACAGTGTGAGCGGGAGGAGTTCAAATGAATTGTAGAAGAGCACCGGACAAGTGGAGGACTTTTCTGTCTGGGGTGCAGGGGCGGCAGGGAGCAGGCTTAGCGCTCAGCAGCCCGTGTTGGCGCCCTGGCTCCTCTGCGTCACAACAGCCATTGTTCCTGAGCACCTGCGATGGATGTTTCAAGCTTTTCATGGGAACTGACCTGTTGCATCAAGACTGTGGTGTCAGTGCCGTCATCATGTGTGAGCCATGAAATGAGGCTGCAGAGGTCAAGGGGTCCATGGGGCCCAGACCTAGGAGGGGGAGGAATGAGAATTCAGAACCATCTCCATCTGGCTGGTTCTAAGCATGGGATTTAGGGGTCTGGTCCAGAGCCTCTCAACCATTTTTTAAAAAATTATTTATTGATTTGGAGGGGGGCAGAGGGAGAGGAACATCAGTTTGTTGTTTCACTTATTGATGCACTCATTGGTTGATTCTTGTATGTGCCCTGACCGCAGATCAAACCTGCAGTCTTGGTGTTTCAGGACCACGCTTTAACCAACTGAGCTACCCAACCAGGGCCAAGCTCACTGACTTTTTAATTAAATTAATAAACACATAGATGGCATTTACTGTGTGCGAAGCACAGCTCTCACTTAGTCTTCATAACAACCCCACCAGGTACTATTATCTCTGCTTCACAGATGGGCAGACTGAGGCAAGAAGGGGCTACCTTACTCTGTTCATAAGAGCCGTAGCCTGATGCGGTCAGTTGATTCCTCAGCCCTCGGGGCAGCACTGCTGGGCCAGGACTACCGCCGACCTCGGGCCTGTTGTTCACCACTTGTGAGTAGCCTCATGCGGCCACCACGGCCTATGAGGATCAACTTCAGCACCAGGCCCAGGGCCACAGGACCCTGGTCTTGGCTGCCAGCCCCGTGGCCCTGTCTCCAGGGTAAGCAGCTCCCCTGTTACTGTGAAATGCCCTATACCAGAAAGTTCTGAGGGTAGGGAAAGAATCTGCCCTGTTAAGAAATATCAGCATCACATTTTATCACTGAAAGAAAAGAAAAATCATTACTGTTGGAAATTTTCAAATAGTTGTTTTTTAAAAATTAATAGAAATTTTTGTGCCATTTCCTTGAGCAAAGTTTCTTGATGATGAGTATTAAGAAGGAGTAACTCATCATTAAAGATCAGGAGCTGATTGGTTAGTTCAAGCAAAAAAAACAAACTCAAGTGTAAAAAGATGTGTTCATGTCTGTGAGAAAATTTAAAACTGTTATTCGGGAGTTTTATATAAATTCTATATTACCTAATATACAGCAGGTCCTTGAATAACATCATTTCATTGTAACATTAATGAGTAGAAAAAATTGACTTGGAGCCAGGGTCGCTGTCCATGTGGAGTCGGCACTGTCTCCTCATGCCTGTGTGGGTTTTCTCCAGGGGAAAACGAGCAGGATCACCATCGTCAGACATTGGAAATCTCCTCACAGAACTTTGCAACCCCAGTATCCTCTCTGCCATATTTGAATGTCTGGATGTTTTGAAAGATCAGACTTTCAGAGGCTCTAATCTTTAGCAAACTCTGGTACTGTCTTGTGAACCTGAACTAAAAATAGCCTTTCAAGTTCCCTTTTGTGTAAACTCAAATTACTTTCATAAGTGGCCCTTATGGGCCAACAATGGGGGAGAGAAAACGGAGAAACAGGCTGGGGCTTTGTCTTCAGCCAGGCTTGGATGGGGCCAGGGAGGTCAGCCCACAAGGCAAGAGAAATAAAGATGTACAGAACCACTCGTGACCTGCAGGTGGATAGATGTGCCTTGTAAGGGTTCTTTTTGCTTTTTTTTTTTTCCTCCTCCTCCCTTCTCTTCTCCCCTCCTTTTCCTGTCTTTTCTTACTGAATAGGAAGAAGTAAGGATCAGGGTCCCAGGAGCAGGGACACAGCCAGCGGCAAAAGGCTGGACGGGAAGCTGTCCCATGTATAGTCCCTGGGCATTTGGGCAGGTTGTCTGACTCTCCTGGAGCCTGAGTTTCCATGGGTGCACCATAAACATAGCCACACCTTCCCATGCACCCCTGGATAGGCTGTAGGAAGGGGGCAGCAAGCTCTCTGAGAGAACTTTACACTTAGAGGCTTTCCCAATTGATGGCTTCTGCCATTTTCATTCCTTACGACGTACAAACTCACCATTTGTCATATTAGAAATATTTACCCTGATTCTGTTCCCAGCTCACTCCAAAATAATACAAAATAACTGGAATAGAAAAGAATTTCATCTTTGCCAGCGATGCTGTTAGCCAGGCAGTTGGCAGGGTGTAGAGGGGAAGACTAGCCCCCATTGCTCACCTCAGATGGCTGTTTGGCTCAGAGGTGGGCAGCTCCAGACACATTGATGCCCAAAGATGCCCCTCCTATCTGTCTCCTCCTGAGTTCAGCTACTGTCAGCCTCAGGGCCCACCCCTCCCCAGATGTGGGTGATGGCAAGCAGTGGTGGCTTTATCAACAGCATCTGGGCACGTGAGGGGAGTCAGTGCTCTCTGGGGAAGGTGAGATTCTCCCTCCACCTCCACGTTCCCCAGACCAAGCCGAGGTTCCCTGCTCAGGAAATAGGCCAAACCCCAGTCTCTTATCTTAGAAACCAGGTTGCTTCTTGCCCGGCTAGTCCTGACCTTTGTAACTTTCTGGTCATCAGCAAAGCAAGCTGGAATGTTGCTGAGTCAACGGGAAAATGACTTAACCACAAAGTAAATCAGCTAGGACAGCAACTTAACTTCTCTAAAGACACTTTATTAACCTTGGGTGAAAAATGAAAAACGGAAATTTTGTTTTCTTTAATGAACATTTCAGTAATGAACAATGTTTTACATGTGGATTTTCTCTCTTTTAAAGCTGTAAGAATGGAACTAAAACTGCCCTTCTATTTAGCTGTAAAAAGCATGTCTAAATGACTTGGCTCTTTTGTATTTAAATGTAATGATTGTTTCTAGGAAGTGTATCCCAAAGACTACTGCTTAAGGTTATTTTCATGTACAGTATCTTCTATTGAAATAGGTTGCACATACAGATATTTGAAAGATACCTCTTAAGGACCCTGTAATTATACATTGATTCATGGATTTGTTGAGACTGCACAATTATAAATTCTAACGAGAACAAGTCACATGAGGACACACAATCAACTCACCTACTCACCAACATTTCACAGAGCAGAAGACTGTTCTAGACATTGGGGTTTGCCAACAGCAGCAGTCAAGGCCTCGCTGTCCTGAGTCACAACCCAGAGGAGGGAACAGATGGCTTCCAATACACGCTTTCTTTTAAAGATAATATCCTTGGAATGCCCTGACTTGCACACTTTGTTGGAATTCATTAGTGCCATGGTGAAGTGAGTTAGCTGAGCCGCAAGTGCTATTGGTGTTACCAAAACAAATGGACCCATGGGGGAGAGGGGTGCCCAGGCACTATTACCGAAACGATGACCCCCGCTTCCCCAGGGTCCCTTGGCTGTAGGTCCTTTGCCTGCCGCCCTTGGAATTATGGCTCTGAATGGCAGAGTTTGGTGAAAAGGAAAGGAACTATTTATTCAAAAGTTATACAGGTTTGGTTAATGGCTAAATGTCACCCTTAAACCTCAAAACCCCTTGAAAACAATCACCAGCCCACACACCGTCCTGCCTTCCCCACTTTGCCCAGTTAGGCCAGTCAGGCCTGTCAGGGTACCGTCCTTCAGAAGAAAATGAACAGAAGTCAGGGGCTCGGCTAGGCAGGCCTCTTGCGGGTCTCAGCACCATCAGCTGCGTCGCGGCGATCTCCAGCTCTTAATCCGTAACCATGTGGCACCTTCTCCTGGCCCACTAGCAAGAGTCCTGTCTCCCGTCTTTCTTCTTGCATGGTCTTCACACTGTTCCCCAGAGTCTGTGTCCTATCGTCTTTCCCACAGGACCCTGTCTCTCCTCCTCCCTCTCGCAGTTACGTTCTGTATTAGGTCTCTTAAACCTTCCTGATTAGCTTTAGTGATATGCAAAATAACCCTCTTTGCATATGAGGGATGAAGCTATCCTGTTATTGACATGCAAAGTGACTCAATGGCCCTTCTCAATGCTCCCATCCCCCATGGCAGCTCACCCTAGCGGTGGGGAGAATATATTTTTCTTGGACACCCCAATCTCTGGACCCCATTACAAATATCCTTTGGGGGGGGCCCTGGATGTGCCCCATTACGTTGGGACTCTAACAAACCTCAGAACTAGAGAGACCAGGTGCTCTATGGCCCTGCCCCATAGGAAGTAAAATTATAGAAAAAAAAGAAAGGTGCCCAGGTTGGAAAAGAGGTAGAAAGCTGTCTTTATTCACAGAGATGATTCTGTACGTAGAAAAATCCCAACTAATCCATGCACGAAAAAAGAAAATGAGAGGTAAGCAATGATCTTAGCAAGGTCACAGGATATAAGATCATTATGCAAAAATCATTGCATTTGTACTGTGAACAATCAACATGTGAAATTAAGAATAATTCTAGTCACAATATTATCTAATACATAGAAACATTTAACATCTGAAGTGTAGGACACGTACACTGAAAACCACAAGATGCTTACAAAAATTAAAGAAGCTCTAAATAAATGGGAAGACACTTCATGTTCATGGATTGAAACACCCCAAATTGCTAAGATGACAGTTCTTCCCAAATTGATATGTAATTTCGACGTAATTCCAATAAAAATCCCTGCAGTTTGTTTTTTGTTTTTTGTTTGTTTTGGTAGAAATCGAGAAGCTAACCCTAATGTGTATGGAGTAATGCAAAGAACCAAAATGCAACGT